TTAACTTGAAATGGAGGATTAGGATTGCTCTTCTAGCCTTGATGAGCATTCGATGCTTATCAAATGTAGACTTGTGAACATTGACTATAATAATCAAGCAACTATTTAATGGACCCTATCAATAAGATTTATTGGGCATGACTTCAGTTCTGTTATTCATATTTAAAAATATCTTATAATTTTAAATAGAGCCTGGGAGTGCGATACATGATTCCTTATAAATGCAAATCTTAGCTACTCGAGATCAAACTAAAATATCATCTTGTTCACAAAAAGATGAAGGAAGAAATTTTTTTGCAGATGCTCATAAATAATCTTGACTCCATCATTACTCACATTCTTATACTCTGTGGGCACCCTCCAGCTATTACTTCAGCCATCGATGAATGACCACTGGATCTCCCTGTTAAGCTCCAATCGTAAAAATAAATAATCATTAAAAGTATATATATTTTACATTTAAATTATTGCTATTAAATTTATCTATATCAATAGATTATCATACTCAATACAAAAATTTTTAAAATAAGGGAACTGATTTTTGGTATTTCTTATTTTTTATTAATATTAATATTTTTTTAGTTTTATTTTTCTTTGAATTGGGTCCTGTCACTTTTATAAATTAAGTTCTACACTGTATATATCTAACTCATTCAAACCAGTAAAAAATCAATGACGTTTAACCCAATTTGCATCTTGTTTGATTTTATAAACGAGTTTATATAATTTTGTAAGTTAGAAACTTAAAAATGATAAATGAACTCAAAGAGTCAACTTATAAATTGAGTTTATATCTGAATTTGTGGGTGAATTAATATGATTTTGTGAGCTTAACATATAAAATTAATAAATTCAAATAGTCAATTTGAGAGTTTATCGACAATGAATGATCCCTTTATCATGTGTAAGAATTATTTTGGGTGGCAAGTTTTCTAGCAAATAAGTTTTAAAAAGAAGACTCGTGGAAATAAAATAAAAACTCGTATAATTATATTTATAAACTAAATAAGCTCTAATCTCAAAATTGTATTATTCCAAGTTTACAAAAAATATACTTATCAGTCCAATTAGACATTTAAAATGTAAAATATTCTTATCAACATTCAAGTCAACACAAGAACTATATCGGATGCAATCTTGTGATCTAATTACCCAGCATCCTGTGATCATTTCAATTCAAATTCCTGGTGTGCTTCGAATCATTTTATGTTTCCTATGTTGTCTGATTTTGAGTTTCTTTTGTCGCTTCAACCAACAATAAATGGCAATGACAATAACAGGTTTCAATTACTGGAAACAATGGAAGCAACTTGTTGCGTCCTATTCCTCCCTTAAATTATCCTATTTATTTCACTTCCCCGGCACGGAATATATCACTTGTTAGTTGGAACTTGGAAGAAATTTCTTTTCTTTTATTTTTTTTAACCATTTTGTCCACATAATTAAGACAGAATGCTAATTAGATGCCAAAAGTTAAATTCAATGATAATCAGTTCTCAAATATTTTTTTAAAAAATAAATTACAAATATTCATTTAAATAACTGTAAATTTACAAGTTTTATTGTTTATCAATGAGAAAGTTTCAAATATAATTCTTAATGTATAAATGAAATTCTTATTACAATCGTGTGTATATAGATATTTCCCACTTATTTATTAAAAAATTTTATGAATAAATTAATTATCATTAACTCAATTTCAACACTTAACCGTCATAGTTATAAATTACATGATTGCAGAAAATTTGGATAAATTTTTAATTGCGTTCATAGCGAATTGCAAATACACACCTTTTCTTTTCTTTCTTTTTTTTAATAACCAAAATTTTAATATGTACTCAGTTCACGCCCCACAGGGAAAAATAGAAAAGACAGAAAATAAAAGGAAGAAAAAAGTTGATGGATGCAATTTTTTTATATTATATTTAGCTGAACAAGAAAAGAAGAATAAGAAAAAAAGTTGTTAATTTTATATAAAAAATAATACCCTTATTATTTATAAAAATATTTATATATTGTTAAATTTAATATTTTGACATGTTATATGTATGATAATTTTTATCATATATTATTGATTGAATAAGAATATATTTACAAACTATTTTATCCAATATTGATAACAAATTATTTTATCTAATTTATAATTTTATTTATTAAATTCTTAAATATATAATAATTTTAAAATTTTAAAACTACAACCAAAGATAAGGAAATTAATTAAAAAATTTAGAATTAACATTTTTTTAATAAATTTAAAAATTAAATATATTACTTATTTAACAAAAGTTCATCATCAAAATTTTACTGCACTACAAATATAAAATTTAGAAATTGGTGGATAAATTTAAAAATAATTTTTTTTTCAAAATCTTATCATATTTGGAGAGAAAAATTGGAGGAAAAAACATGTGGGTCTTATATATTATTTTCTTCTCACTTTTCTCTTCCCTCAATTTTCTCTCTGTAGCCAAGTAAAGAAAAATATTTTTTCTTCCTCACTTTTCTCTTTTGCCAGGCATGGGCTAAGTGTGAGATTTAAAACTTGTTAGGATCAGGTCATATTTCAAAATTTAAAAAATGTTTATAGATTATATATCAACAAAATCCTCATATTGATAATAAAATTTAGTCATATAATTTTATAAATTATGAGTTAAATTTTTATTAACTGAGTTAAGATTTATAGAATTTCCATTTTGTTGTTTGTTCCTGCGTGATATTGCAGTAGGCGATTTTATCGTTTAAATAAATGATAAGGCGCATCGGCGAAATATTTTGAGAAAAGTTCCAGAAGGGGCATGATTGTGTTCAGCAAAAACTTATTCAGACATAAAGAAAAAGCCGGAGGCATCAAATTAAAGACGACAGAAAGAGAACATTATTAATTTTGATTAAATCTCAGATTAGATTCTTCTTAATGGAATGACTACTTTAACTAACCTCGAAGTTTTCCCCTCGTTCACCAATACGGATTTACTCTTCACACTCCTCCTATTTTAAATTATAAAATATTTTTAAATAAAATCTCATTTATTAATAAATCTTATTTAATACACATAATCATTTTATCTTTTTAAAATAAAAATAAAATTTTTTTAAAATGTCTCTCATTTAATATATTAAAAAAAGTGATATAAATTAATTATAAAGAGAAAAATGATTAATTTGAAATTGGTACATTTAATAAAATTTTAATATATCCAAAATGTCTTATATTTTAGGACATAAAAATTCTTTTAAAAGTGCCTTATAATTTGGGATGGAGGAAGTATTATTTATTTTATTTTATTTAATAAGTTATTTTTATGAAAAAAAAATCAGGTGAGCTAGGTTTTAGGGAGCATTAGGATTGTATATGTCTCCTGATTTAAATAGCATTTATAATACTTTCTCTATTTTAAATTATAAGATACTTTTAGAAAAAAATCTCATATACCAACAAATTTCATTAAATACACATAACAACTTTATCTTTTCAAAATAAAAATATAAACTTTTTAAAATACCCATCATTTAATACATTGAAAAAAGAAGGAATGTAAATTAATTATAAAGAGAGAAAGGATAATATTAAAATTGGTATATTTAATAAAACCTTAATCTGAACAAAGTGTCTTATATTTTGAGACAAAAAAACTTCTTTAAAAGTGTCTTATAATTTGAGACAGAAGGAGTAGTATTCAAAAATTTCTTATCAATAAAGTTTTCACATTGATAATGAAATTTAATTCCATAATTTTGCAAATTATAAGTTAAATCCTTCCCTAACTTTTGTTAGTTATTTTTTTTATAATGATTAAACATTTCATAATATAAACTGTTTTTAATATAAAAAATGGTTAAGATAAAGATTTAATTTCGAAGTTTCCACATATCTTATATCGTTAAATTTATTGTGTGAAAATTTTGAGGTAAATTTATACATTAACATTATAAAAATAATTTATTAATAAATTATTCTAATATTATCTTTCACTGTTTTACTCTTTAAATATTTTTCTCTTCCCTCCTCTATTATATATATTGTTTTTTAAAATTATATTTCTTTAAAATTAATGTTATAAATAAACCGTATTTAATTCATTTCATTGGCATTTAAATTTTTAAAAAAGTGTAATCAAACAAGGTGGGGAGAGCACTGAATTTTCTTTTAAAAAAGTACTAAAATATTGTAGACGTGTGCTTGAAAAATATCAAAATTGGATACAAACTATATCGAGTATGACTGCTGAAAAAATAATTAAAAATTTTAATTACTGGGCCATAATTTTTTTCAATATAAAATTTATTTCAAGGTTAAAAAAATCAATCTTGTACTCATCCAAAAGGAGGCAAGCACGGGGGTGAGAGGACAGGGCTGTCACTTGCTAGATTCTGTACCTTAAAAATGTCCAGAAAGGAATCTCCCCTTCCCTGATCCGCTAATTCAGGCCTCGTTTGGCTGTTGTTTTTATTTTTTATTTTTAAAAGCTGTTTCATACAACAATTTTAAAAATTGTTTTTGAGAACAAATAAAAAAAAACTTGATTAGTAATAGTAATCAAAAAACTATTTTATAAATATATGAGATGGGTGATTCTTTTTTATCAGGATAACAATACAATGTTTATCATTAACGAGAACAATTCTCATTTTGTGTTTTTCACTTTTTCTCTGTAAAAAAAAAGGAACAAAAACGGTTAAAAATTATTTTAATTTTCTTGTACTTAAAAAAAAATTTAAAACTGTTTTTAAAACAAAAATTAAAAAATCATTAATCAAACAAGATTTTTTGTTTTAAAAATATTAAAATAAAAAAATAATTTTTAAGAATAGTAAACAAACAGGCTTTTATATTTTTAATTTTTTTTCTCTTTTTACTGTTGACATATTTTGCCGCCAAAAGATCACAGCCGCCCTCAACCGTCGATATGGTGGGCCCACCTACCTTCCTATGGGAAATGGGTCCCGCGACTACGATCCTAATCAAGCAAGGAAGCAAGAAAAAATTGATGGAGGCAAGACTTCTTCCACAACCATCCATACCATTATTAACTTTGAGTCAGACCGAAGCGACTCCGATTCCATCTCGAGTTTTTATTCTCTCTTTTCGATTCGTCTCCCTCGCATCAGGAATCGCCATTTCTGGGTGATTTCTCTGATGTGTGTCTCTGTTATTCATTTCTCTCTTTCTCTCCAACTTCTTGTTGGGGGTTCTGGGTTCGCTCCACTTCCGTCTTTTCACTGTGAACTATGAAATGGGTTTCTAGTTTTGGCTTCTTGTTCTGTTCGTGTTTTGGTTTCTGATTTTGTGAAGTGGGGGAATTGGAGATGTTGGGCTCAAACACCAATTTGGTGACCACGGTGATTGGATTTGGTATGAGCGCGACTTTTATTGTGTTTGTCTGTTCAAGAATAATCTGTGGAAGGTTGCGAGGGTCCTCGGAATCTCATAATATGTTTGAATTTGAGCCTAGGATGGATATAGAACGGGTAATTATAACTTCGCCTTTTGCTTGTGAAATTGACTGATTCATGCACTTTTAGTTTTTGTTAAATTGTGTATGGCTATGATTCCTCCATAATGAGCTGATCCTATGATTTACCCCATTGCTATTCTTCAAGTTAGCTTCCAACCTTGATGCAAATGAGAATTGAGACTAGCTGCCAACTTTCTATTGTTTTTTAACTTCTGATTCTGATGCAATTAGGCAAATGTTGCATTCCTTTTTCCTAATAGTAACTACACAATTTCCCTAGAGTAAACATATAGATTTAATCCTGTTTGTCCCTTCGGTAGACCGAATAGTATATATTTATTCTATTTTCAATGACTAATTCATCAACGAGTTCAAACTTTAGTGACTAATTCATAAGAAAAATTTTTGGCCAAAAATAAAAAATTCATATGAAAAGATACTTCAAATTCAACGACTATGTGGCTGGGTTGATTTGAAAAAGAACGAATACCGCTTAAATAAATTCCTGAGTTGAGCCTTGTGGATAGAAAAAATAAGGTTGGGAAAGCTTGCGTAGACCAACTTGGCTTGGTGGTTGTCAAAAGAGGAAAAATTCAAGGATTAGAGTGCAAATAAATGTATTTTCAGCACCAGCTTGTGTGTTTTAATCCTGGCCAAAACTAAACCTGTGATGGATAATAGAATGAAGCTTCTACGATATTTCATCAGACGTTGAAATGGCAATGTGTACTTCGTATTCAATTATACATTCTGCCTATTAATTCATATGTCTTTCTATGATGGATTTGTATGTCCTAATCTTCTGCTTATCAATATCAATGCCTTATGTTTTTGCTGTATCATGGACTTTTGAAAGGGGTAATAAACAGTATCCACACACACACGCCACCCCCTTTTCGTGAACAAGAATGTGTCTCTTTGGTTTGGGTGCTTGGAGTTTTAATTTCTCACTGTTTTTTGATAGCCAGAACATCATGTTAACCATCCAGAACCTGCTCTTGTTACTGCAATTCCCACCATGAAGTTCAACCAAGAGGCTTTCAGTTCTATTGAAGATACACAGTTAAGTTTAACCTCTCATTTGCAGGTCACAGAGAACCTCCTTGTCTATATGTATATAAACTGAGAATAAGTTCATCAAGCGGTAGGAACCAATGAAATTGATGAATAAATGGTCCACTTTTGCCTTTGCAGGTGTGTGATTTGTTTGGCAGAGTACAAAGAAAGAGAGGTATTGCGCATCATGCCAAAATGTGGTCATAGCTTCCATCTTTCCTGCATTGATATATGGTTGAGGAAACAATCCACCTGCCCAGTATGCCGTCTTCCATTGCAGAATTCTTCTGAAACAAAGCATGTGAGACCGGTAACGTTTAGCTTAGGGCAAAGCGAGGCTCAGACTTCTGAAAGTAGGGACAGTGAGAGGAATGCTGAGCCTGTGCCAGGGAATGCCTTGCCCTTACAGTCAGACACTGCAGAAGCAGAAACAAGGCAATGATGTGAGAGAGCCAAGCAAGGGCTCATTGTGCTCAGAACAGAGTAGGTATACTTTTCATTATCCACATGGGAGTGGATTCTTCTGTTTTCTGGGATTCAAATTCTTTGTCTATAAGATGGGATTGAGATTGAATTGGGGATGTAAAAGCAGGTCATATGTCTGTTGAGATCTCTGCAACTTACATGCACATAATATGACTCCTTTAGAAGCAGTTGTTGCTGGCCTGGGTTCTTGCTGAACTGATAGTGAATTTAAGGGTATGTTTGTTTGCATGTTTGGATTGAGGAGAATAAGATTAAGAGATGGAAAGAAATGTATAAATCAAATCTTCCCATCCCTTCCTCCTCTTGGTCTCCTGAATACAAACATATTGGAGTCTCTATTTGATGTGTTCCTAGTGGGAGGTCTTCTGAAAATGGACTTTTGAATTGGATCCCAATTAATAAAATGAAGCAATCAACCCTATAGCGAGCCATTTATAGGTTTGGTTTTTGGAAGCCAAAATTTCAGATATTCTACGTTTAGACAATAGGTTACAAGTTAGTCATTGTCTGGTTGGCTATTCTTTTGGGGTTACAAAAGGGAGGTTATAAACTACAAAGTGAGTGAATGTGATGGCGTGGTTGATAAGGAAATCTGTAAATGTGCTGACGCCTATCCCTTTCAATTCACGAATGGACCATTCAGATTGAAAGTTAATAAAGGTTTGTCATACAAGGGGATGACTATAGTGATTTAAAGCAACTAACAACAAAAATGGTTCTGAAATCAAAATGACCAAAAGATGTTTGTGGAGCGGAAAGTGATAATGAAGTCCGGAGAGCGCTCTGATTTTTTATTTTTTGGGTTCACCAACCAGAAAGCATAATAATGATTGTGATAATAATAATGTATTTTGTGGTGGTTATTCATTTGCAAATTTAAATATCTTTTAACTGGACGGCATCGACAAATGGGCTTTTTACAGGCTAAACCATGAAGATGAAGGAAATCCACGAATCATATTTGAATCCTCATTGCATTTTAGTGATTTTGCTGCCGCTTCGATCTGGCATCAATCTCTCCAGAAGCTTTGACAGCAAGCACGGAACCGCCGAATGAGTTCGCTCTACACGAGTCGCATCAGACTCGTCAATCCTATTCGCTTCGTCCAAATCCTTCCCTATCACTCTGCTAAACAAAATTCCCCGGTCAAACATGCTGAATTCAATTCGAATTCTGCCGCCAAAACCCTAGTTCCTAATCCGAATCCCATAAACCTTGATCCCGCAACTGTTCGCCAAGCTCTTCTTACCTACCGCAATGACTGGCATCGCGCGTTCGACTTCTTCAACTGGGTCCAGAGCGAATACCGCCTCCAGCTCCCCACCGATACCTATAATCTCATGATCGACATTCTCGGTAAGTTCTTGAAGTTTCAGCTATCCTGGGATTTAATTCAACTCATGCGGAAATTCCCCTGTTCGTTCCCGGACCATACAACATTTCGAATCATGTTTAAACATTATGCGTCGGCTCATTTAGTGAAAGAAGCGATCCAGACATATGAAAAGCTAGGGCAGTTTAATTTAAAGGATGAAACTTCGTACTGTAATCTTATCGATGCACTATGTGACTACAATCATGTGCATGAAGCCCAGGAATTGGTTTTTGGGAAGAATGAGAATATAAAATTGGATGGCAATGCGAAGATTTATACCATTGTTCTTCGCGGGTGGTTTAAATTAGGGTGGTGGAGCAAGTGCAGGGAGTTATGGGGAGAGATGGACAGAAGAGGAGTTCAAAAAAATCTGCGTTCGTTTGCGATATATATGGATATATTGTGCAAAAGTGGAAGGCCTGAGAAAGCTGTGAAATTATACAAGCAGATGCAAAGCAAACGGATGAAATTGGATGCGGTAGCCTATAATATTGCTATTCGTGCCATGGGTCTTTCACAAGGGGTTGATTGTTCGATTGAGCTCTTTCGCGAAATGGAATATTTAGGGTTGGAGCCCACTGTTGTAACTTATAACACTGTCATTAAGCTTTTGTGCGATAGTAACAGGTACGAAGAGGCACTAGTAATACTAAATACCATGCGTAAGAATCGATGTCAGCCTAATGCAATTTCATATCATTTCTTTTTTGATTGTATGGAGAAGCCCGGCAAGATACTTGCGTTGTTTGATAGGATGATTGAAAGTGGAGTTCGGCCAAGCATGGACACCTATGTGATGCTTATGAGGAAGTTTGGGGAATGGGGATTTCTTCGACCAGTTTTTGCAGTGTGGAAGAAAATGGAAGAACTTGGATGTCGTCCAGATGCTTCTGCTTACGATGCTATGATTGATGCTCTTGTGAAAAAGGGATTCATGGACATGGCTAGGAAGTATGATCAAGAGATGTTAGCAAAGGGACTTTCATCCAGGCCAAGGAAAGAGGTGGGGTCTGGGGACAGAAATGTCGGTGACAGATGAATCCCTGAACGGCAGCTTCGCTTCAATACAATGTACAAGCTTTCAGGCTTCTCAGGAAGACTATCACTTTCCAGCAAATCATTTTAAGTCTGGCATTGGGAAGTGTACCTGCTGCATCGTCTCCTTCCAAATGCAGCTGCTCTATCACTCTATTTCCCGGAAAACGACATCGCCCCTGGAGTCACACCATCACTAAGAACATTCTAGTGCTTGTCTGCTCTTTCAAAGGACTGTCTTAATGCCTCTGTTTCATTGCTCATAAATTCGATGAAAAAGAACCATGAAATGTCGACATTTCTGCAATTCCACAGTTCAATCCTTATGACTCGGATCACTTCGTAAGTGCTTGCCCTGTTTTTCCTTCTAATTTTGCTTATGCTGGACAAATTTGTCTCCTGGTGATTCTCATATTTGGAATTTGATACTCGTCAATATCGTGCGGTTGATACCAATGGCATTCTGTATTGTTTTGAACTGGTTCATGCATTACGAGACAGGAGTAAAACCATTTCCGCAATACATACATGCGAAGCATTAGTGGAATCCCCCTCCCTTTTTTCCCCCCGTTTTGGAAGGCAAAATTTGCCTTAATTTTTTACCCTGTTATTGTATTATATACTTCACTCAAGCTCTTATGTACTTTTCGGTTGATTTCTCAGGCCAGGGATTTAATATGCTTGAGATGCTCCCAGGTGGAGCTGTGTTGGATGGGACAGGAGATGTTTTAGTCACCTGTTGGTGAAGTGGATGCCACAAGTATGAGTGGTCGACACATAATACTGAGAAGCTACGAAGACTACCCCAGAATCATCATTTTCTTGGCTTTCATTTTAACCAGAAGCCAGTCTCTGAACGTGTTATATCTTAACACTTTCTGTCACATATATAAAAGGATGGTAAAGGATGGCAGTGGATCATTGAGAATGAATAGAATAGATAGAGTCAGGAATGGCTTTACACGACCACTCCATCAACATCAACCCTACCTCAATACTGTAGGATTAGCTTATGACAATAATCTTATTTAGAAAGCCAAGATGATGCCTTACATCTATTTGGATACGTTGAGGGATCGATTTCACCACCTGAATATCCGTAGTGTCTCAAATGGCTTCATTAAAGTTCAACTCGTACAATTTGTTGTAGTCTCACTAGTCCCTGAAAATTGGAGCGCCCAAGTACCGAAGCATTAAACATCTCAATTATAAAAAATAATTGCATAACAAAAAGCAAGTTATTAATATGTTCATGCAACTATACTGAATTTTTATAGTCATTCATAGCTCCATATAAATATTCTTCTAACAATTTAATAAAAGGATTAGCCTGACATATAAAAAAAGTATTAAATGTCGCTTTCCTTTCATTAATAGAGTTAATTAACGTACATTAATTTAGATTTAACATGCCAAGAAAACATACCTATTTTATTTTATTTAACTATATCATGAAGGGAAAAGAAAACTTTGAAACTTAGCCAAAGGACCGAAGCCACTAGTTTGGTAATTTCCATCGGAAGAGAACCCACAAACGATATGATCCCGCAAGTTCTTTATTTCTAACGGTTACTGCCAACGCTCGTCAAACTCTCCACAGAGTAAGGGTGGAGGAGCGTAAATAGACGATGATGGCATGATCTTATTCAGATTTGATATTTTGATTTACCTGTTCGTTAAATTTATTTGAAAGAAATATGACTTGGCGGACAGGGTGGAGTGGTTATTGGAAGACAACGAGCCACAGCTGCACACGTTGGATAGAATCATATCCTGTCCGTTCGAGTCACTCATCTCTAAACCCTCTCTCACTTCCCTTTCCCTCCCTCCCTCCCTTTTTCTCTCTATCTGCTGTCTGCTCTTCATCTTACTTCGTATCAGCCTGTTTTGCTTTCGCTTTCGCGGGTTACTGCCAAAAGCTTGAAGCTGGCCCTCTCCGGTTCTGGGATTTTAGGCTTTTTGTTTCTGCTCAAAAGGACCCAGGAGAATCCAATTGTTTTATCGGTTAGAATCCTGAATTTGATTCTTCCTGCCTATTTTGCTGTATTTGGATTTTTATATCTTTCACTACTCACCATGATTCTTGTCAGCTACATTTCGTGGGTTCTGAATTTTTTCTTCTGTGTGTTTTCATCAGTTATGCCTATGATATCATGCGGATACATGAGCAATTTTTGAACCCTTTGCGTGAACTCAATGGAGCTGGCTTCATATTCTTATTATACATTCCAATGCTACTATATATGTTGCTTAACATATTTGAGATTTTCTTCACTCAATATTTTGCAGTAGCTTGTAAAGTAAAGGGATTTGTCTTATTATTATTACTAACTAGATGCGAGCCCCCTGCATTGCATGCACCAAGTCTAAAAAAGAGGCCACACGATACTATTCCAATAACTATGACTTCAATTCTAGTCTGATGGGACAAGCTTTAGTTTCACTTTTCCTCGTTCAGGCATTTTGAGAAGCTGAGAGTTTTTTCATCATGTATCTTTTTCTTTTTTGGTACAAAGATGAGGCTAAAAGCTCAGAAAGATTAATCTTGTATTCTTTAATGTAAAAGAAAAACCAATCGAGCTTGTAGAAATTTTATTGTTCCTTGATCATTCTAAATTATGGAGGGGGAAGTATTGGGTTGCTTGAGTCCAGACTTAAGACTCGATATAGGTTTATCCCTCTTGATTTATAAAAATGGATATCAGTTATGCGTTTTTTTTATTTTGCATCCTTACTTGAAATATGAAGTCTGGCATAAGGGTTGTGGGAATGTATGGAAATGGCAGTATATAAGTTCTTATACTCTTGGTAGTTTTTAAAGTATACTCCCAGTTTTGAGGGTACACATGGCAATAACTCTATATGATACTGGCATACTGCATGGTTACTCAAATGGTTGCTCGTGGTTGGAATTGGGAATTAATTTCTTTATCTCAAGAAAGTCAATGAAGTCTGAGTAGTTTGTTTTACTAGTAATATTTAATTTTTGTTGCCTTCTCTTTTAACACTTTTTCCGTGTCCTATAGGATAAATGTTATGACAAAGTGAGTAAAGTTTTATGTCAGCCAAAGCTAGTGCTTTTAGAGTTTAGTTGAATTGACAGTTTGTGAATTATAATTGTTGTCACGTTCTGTTTGTTTTTAGGGATAATTGGAAGAATTCTGTGTTCAATTACTTTGGGGTCGGGTTAATGGCTGTACACATTGGAGTCATATCCTCTTCTACCTTCTTCCCTTCAGTCCGTTGCTTTCCTCATCATTCTTTAACCAAAACCAAACCTCTTATTTGTAAGTAATGGCACAGGCGAAATCCATCATTTCCAATCATGGAGTCATTGCAAGCATTTTTTTGCTATGCTTTTTTACTTTTTCTTTTTCCTTTTTGGGTATCTAGGTATAAGAAAATTACTTTTTGGAGTTCAATTGAAATTGCTTGTTGGGTTTGAAATAATACTGGTCAATGTTTTCAATGCTTTATAGTTTTCTTTTTTTGAAGTTCTTCTAGACTTGAGGAAATAATTCTGATGGTCTAAGAAACTTTGTGCTTTTCATTTCCTAGGCATGTGATGTTTTGACAGTTTGTGGTCAATTGAAGGTTTTTTGAAGAAAATTGGTTGAGTTGAGGTGGCTTAACCATGTATTGTGTGTGGTAACTGTGCAATTTTAGTCTGAAAAAATAAAGACAAGAGTTTGCTGCATTGCTAAGCAAAGACTTTCTGCTAAACTTGTTCCTGTTTGAGTTATTTGAGATCATAAATGTTTTATTTCTCAGAGGGAAAACTGCAGTTCGTTACTTTATAGTTTTTATTTTCCAGTGGCTAGTATGAGTAATGATCCAATACGTGAGTGGATTCTTTCTGAAGGAAAAGCTACACAAATAACCAGAATCAGTCCTATTGGTGGAGGTTGTATCAATCTCGCTAATCGCTATGACACTGATGCTGGTTCTTTTTTTGTTAAAACAAACAGGTGTAAGACATGCTGACTCCCTCCCTACCTCTCACTCTCTCTCTCTCTCTCTCTCTCATATTATTTTATTTAATTTTATTTTTGCAGTTGATTAATAATTAGTGGTTGTCCTTGGCTTTGAAATTTCATTTACTGTATCCTACGTTTTTTATCCCATCAAGTCTTTAGATCCTCTGCTATATTAAAATTTTGTCTGGTTGGAACACTGTGTAAGGAGTATTGGACCATCAATGTTTGAAGGAGAGGCTCTTGGTTTAGGAGCAATGTATGAAACCAAGACCATTCGTGTGCCTCAGCCATTTAAGGTGTGGAAAATTGAACTTGAATGTGATGGGAGCTGCTTGTTTCCCAAGCTCTTTGATGTCAGCATAAGTCCAATGGTTCAAGGGAACTTAAGTTATCTTTTTATGTATTGTAGGTTGGATCGTTGCCCACTGGTGGTTCTTTCATCATTATGGAATTCATTGAATTTGGAGCTTCTAGAGGAAATCAGGTAAGCTACTTGGAAATTATTTCTGATCAATAGAACCTGTTATCCTAATATCCATTCTTGTTCCCCAGTCTGATCTAGGGAGGAAGCTTGCGGAAATGCATAAAGTAGGAAAATCCAGTAAAGGTTTTGGTTTTGATGTTGATAACACCATTGGCAGGTATACTCTATCTCTGTTATGAAGTCCTCAATTGTCATTATCATGATAATGCTTGCTTGTCATTCAGTGAGTATCTTTCCCATCTGTGTGCAGCATGTTGGGCTTTTGAAAATCCTCAAATGGAGATGATTTTACTATTTGGGTTCTAATGACATATAAATATTATTTGTAGCACCCCACAGAGAAACACCTGGTCATCAGATTGGATTCAGTTTTATGGTGAGAATAGATTGGGTTATCAGCTGAAGTTAGCACTGGACCAGTACGGTGACAGAACCATATATGACAAGGGTAATTTAATTAGAAGTTACTGTTTTTTTCTTCCCAATGATTTGTTTTTTAATCAGAAATCTTATCTAGTATATTCAGATTAATACAAGTTGTAGCAGATTAGTTGAAAATACTTGAACAAATTTAGAAGAACAGAGATATTAATGAATGCCTATTGACGTGAAGTTTATTCACTGGTGCTAAAATTTAATCAAGACCATGGTAGCGGCTTTTTGATTTGGGATTCCTCAGTTTTATCTACCTTCCTGATGGAGTGATCCAGCTGGAAAGAGTTAAGTGCATAGAACATTCACTAAATAATTTCTGTGAAAAAATATTTCAGGTGTTAAAGAATTTAGTATTTACCTTGCTTCCCATAGTGAGAAACTGAGAACTATAGGTGTTCTCATTTTCATAGTACAATGCAGATTTTCTGTCATAACAATTTGGATTCTCTTGAGCTAATGGCATGAACATTTATTTTGAAGAAATTTTCTCTATATGTTATTAACTTTTCATGCTGACAAAATGTAACAGGGCAAAGATTGGTAAAAAGTATGGGACCCCTGTTTGACAATGTGGCAATAGAACCATGCTTGCTACATGGAGACCTCTGGAGTGGAAATATCTGCTGTGACAAGAACGGGGAGCCTGTTATATTGGACCCAGCATGCTATTGTAAGTCATCTTTCGTCTAAAGACAGCATTTGGCCTAAAAGGCAAAGGAGATTATTCAATAAGAAAAAAAAAAGTTATGCTACAGTAAGTCAGTAACACAAGATTTATGTTGGGCTGTAATCGAGTCAAAAGTAGAGAGACTAAATAATTAATTTTTCCAAAATTTTCATCCTTGAAAAAAAATGATAGAAGCCCTGATATTTTAGTTTATTTCTGATTCCGTTTGTCATGCAAAATGAGTTGCCTGCCAACACGCCTGGCTTTAATGAATTTGTGACCTTGGAAACTTTGTAGAAATGACTCCCAGTCTCCCACTATGTTCTTTGTTGCCTTATTTTATAGATGGACACAATGAGGCGGAATTTGGAATGTCCTGGTGTGCTGGCTTCGGAGGATCATTCTATAATGCGTATTTTGAGGTAATGATGCTATCTGCTTTCTGGTGCAAAGGACTAATTGAGCATAGAAATAAAAAGATGCTATCATTCTTACCTGAACTGGTACTCTTCCTCTACTTTATATATATATATATATATATTTCTCTTCTTGATTTTGCGGGTCATACCATCTTATTTACATGGAGTCAGTCAATAATTGGTGAAATAAAAAGACGTTTTCTGTGAGCTGTGAATCAATAAAATACCTCAGCATTGTGTTATTAACGATAATTGGTGGTTTGTAACAAGCCGCATGAGCTCATATGTTTCGTGTGATGAATCTGGATTAGCAAGTGTACAATAGTAATTTCCTTGTGTATTGTGTCCTCAGGTGATGCCTAAGCAGCCAGGATTTGAGAAGAGGAGAGATCTTTACATGCTGTATCACTACTTGAATCATTATAATCTCTTTGGTTCTGGGTACAGATCATCCGCCATGTCCATAATGGATGATTACCTGGCCATGCTGAAAGCTTAGTACATTGTTGATAATAAGCTAGCATGTAGAGGATGAGGTGGTGTTCTGCACTTATTACTATGCGGACTCTGGTTCGGGATATATGATCGCTCTTGTTTTAATCTTCGGTTAACAGTGAAATGCAAAGCCTTCATAATTTCCAGCAACACACAGATTGCAACTTTTCCAACGTTAGATGTAGATGTTTTAAAAGGCAGATATATTTACACACACACACACCCCACGGTCTTTCTACTCGCAAATATGTTGATGAAAATTCAACTTTTGCAAGAATAAGCTCATCTGATTCTGGAGCCAATATACTTGAAGGATTAACTACACTACCACGATGAACCTGCCTCACAGTTCTTGCCATATGGCAAGATGAAGACAAGATTTTCCCTAGATTCCTCCCCGGTGTCACGTGCTCTGGTTAATATTTCCTAATCATACAGATGCAAGTCCCCCCCCCCCCCCAAATAGTGCATGCATGCCCTCCTATTATAAGTAATCATGTTCAAAATATGATCAAATACTAAATATAAGCATATCTTCTAGCAAGAGTCAAATATTGATTAATCATATATAATTTATCCCTTTTGATATTAACTGAAAAAAATATGTAGAATAAAATAAACAAACTGTATATAATCAGATAGACTTTTATGCTCATCATCAGCAATCATTACTCGCAATAACCTGCGGATAATCATTGGACGACGACTAAAAGTTTAAAAGATCGTTTGATGACTAATTAATGATAGAATTCGAGCAGAAAACAAATGATAAAAAAGAATAAATTTATTTGAAATATCTTAACAAAAAAGCTTAGCATGTTTGTCGTTAAAAATTAAAGCATTTTAACGAGAAATAATTCCCTTATAATTTATCCAAAATACAGTTAAGAAAAAATTATATATTTTTGCAGTCACAATTAATTACAATTAGGACCTCAAGTACTATAATGTTAAATTAGAATTTATTAGTTCTCAATTATGAATATGCTTCTCTAAGATTTCATGGTTGTGCATGATTTCAAGCTTTTTTTTTTAATTTATTAATGTGACATTTTATTCATTGTCAACTATGACACTGCAACAATTTCTACTTTTCCTTTTTACTTTGCTTTTCGCGCATGATTTATTTAAGCATGAAATATATAGCCACTTACTATTGTTAAAGCTCCTTAGACATTTGATGAGTTTGATAGAACATTCGAGTACATACAATGATATTGGATACATACCCAAATGATGGATCCAATGTATCAATAGTGATATAGGATATGCGGTAAATTTTTTTACCTTTTTTCCATTAGTACCATCTTTTTCTTTATAAAAAATTGTTATAATATAATGTCTTATTATTTATTTTAGATTGACATAGCAAATGAGTTATATAAACAAACAATTAATTCTCGTTTAGAATGCTCTCATGGTATTGATTATCAAGATAAAGTTGCTTAAGATCAATGCAATATTTTACTTGCAATGAGAGAATAACTATTTAATAAGGACCCTTAACCTATTTCACCAAGAGTTGAGTTGTCTCATCCATAAATGTCTCGAGATAGATGGAGCAAGCAATATGATAGCTACTTGTCTATTCAATTACCAATTGAAAATAAAAATGTAGGGAAAAAAACTTTAAAATTTTAGTTAATCTTATTACATGTTTGCCACCTCATTATCATCACTCCCTTCACTTTTCCCAATGCTATTCAATTTGAGTCTTATTACATGCCACTTTCATCATCATTCCTTTTTAACTCACCAACTCCTACTCAATACAACCCTTGGTTTTGAGTAACTCTATCTCAATAATTAACACCATGAGAGTATTTTGAACAAGAATCAATCGTTAGCTTGTATAACTCATCAGCCATGTTAGCCTAAAATAAACAGTAAAACATTAGATTTTTTGTTAGGGGGCCTAAACAATAAAACATTAGATTATAACACTTTTTTATATAAAGAAAGAAGATGATACTAGTAAAAGAAGATACAAAACTTACCGCATATCTAGTATCATTACTAAAGCATTGGATTTATCATCAGGTATGTTTTCAATACTATTACATATACTTAGATGTTTTATTAAATTTATTAAGTGTTGGAGGAGCATTAGCAATAGTAAATGATCATTTATCTCATGCTTAAATAAATCACCAGAAAAGCAAAGCGAGAAAAGAAAATAGAGATTCTGGCAATTGACAATTAATAAAATGTTATGTCAATTTAAAAAAATTGAAATCATTCACCTAGTGAATGATTTCACTTTTTATTGAATAAAAAAATAATTTTTAATTGTAAAATTATTCTTAGCCTGAATAAGTTTCTCACAACCACAAACTCATTTTTTAATTTGAATGATTTTTGGTATAATATTTAGATAAATACTTTTCACTGTTTAGCATTTTGATAATTTCTTTCATTGTTTATAATATATTAGTAAAAAAGCCCTTTGATCTCTAATATAAATTTCTAATTATCTCACTAAAACAAAGGAAAGATAAGTAAGTTATTAACTTTATCTACTTATATTTAAATGAAAGTTTTTTAGATTTTGATTACATTATTTTTCATAATTAATGAGTTTAAATAAAAATAATATTAAAAAAATATAATTAATACCACACAGTAACAAAAAAATATTTTAAAAAGACGTCTTATACTAAAAAGTGGAAGGAGTACGTGTTTTATGTTTTGTTCATGGATATTTGTATTGTTGATTTTTTTGGCTCAAGTGATTATTATTGTTCATTACTACTCTTTTCGATTCTATTTATAAGATATCTTTTAAAAATAATTTTTGATCTGAAATATAAGACACTTTGTAATAATTAAATTATTTTTTTAAATTTTATCCCTTTTTGATTAGTGTATATCACTTTTTTATGATATCAAGAAAAAAATTAATTATCTTATTAAAAATAGTTAAAAGTATTTTATAATAAGGATGGAAGGGAGTATTACTTTTTCTTTCAATTATTGGGTTTTTGTTTTTTGTTTTTTGAGTTATATATATATATATAGATAGATAGATAGATAGATAGATAAATCGCATGATGGATGGAGTAACGGGTCATTTTTGGCCCCATAAAAAGGGGTCTCTTGAACTTTCATCTACTTTTGGATGAAAGATTTTTTTTTTTTTTTTTTTTATGTTCACTTCTTTCTTAGGACGCAATTCCCCGCGCCCCTCTTTTCTAATTTAAAATCTTACATTAGGATCTATGCATTTAAAATTTTTTATTTTGATAGTATAAATAATTTTAAGTATTAAAAAATATGAGTTGAAATTTAAAATAAAAATAAATTAAAAATAATAACTTTATTTTAAGTTTTTAACCGGCAACAGGCAAAAATGGAAAATGACCTGTTACAAAGATTGATAGTAAAAATTTTAAATGTAGACATTGATAGTAAAAATTGAAGAAAAAGAGAAGGTTTAAATATGTGAAATTTTAGATAATTAAGATATAAAAAAAATTTAAATTATAAAAAAGTTATAATAAAATATGTAGCTGAATTTAATTTAAATTCATAAAATTTTATATATTCAAATAGAGTATTTAATTCAAATCTAAATTTTCATACAACAAAAGAAGTGTACATTTAGCAATCTCTCCTCTAACTAATATAATTTCAATAAACAATTTTTGTCCTGATAAATAATACAGAAATTATTATAAAAAATAAAAAATGGCATAAATAATGTGTCTCCGCGCAACGCACATTGAGCAGCACAATCTCGGCTTGTGTTTTTCCAGCCGAGATTCTCTCTGTTGATGAGGAAAACACTTTGATGAAGGAATCTATGGATTTCACGGCCGAAGCTCCAGCGCTTGCAGACCTCATTGTGTCTCTGGAACAAGCCACTTTCATGTTAAAACAACTCCCTTCCACCACTCACCAAACCCATCTCCTCCAAATCTCCACTTCCCTTCACACTGCCCATCGCAATCTCTCCAATTTCCTCTCCAGAATCGACTTCCCCCTCTCCGCCGTCAACCAAGATGTCGACGGGAATGAGCCGATGGAGGTTGGGGATGACGACGACGAGGCTGAACCAAGCGGAGAGATTGCCGGGGGCACAATTGACAATGTCGAGGACAAGATGCGGGGTTGCTTCATAAAGAACAAGCGGCTCAAGCGGCCGCTTTCGCCATCCACGGCGGCGGTGGCTGAGGAGAGGCGGTTGTCCGACGATGGCTTTGTTGGCAGAGTGAAGGAGTTTGATGCGCATGCGATGAGGTTGAGGGCTTTGGATTTGGTGTACCAGTTTCATGGGTGAAGAGAACAGGGGATTGAAGAAACGTAGACTATTTATTTCTACTCTTCAGCATGAAGGCAGAGGTTTGTTCATCATTTTCTAGTGCTCACGAGGCAGATAGGCTTAATTGACAAGAAGAGCTACTGAGCTAATTTTATTTTGTGAATGTCTTGCTTCATTTATCAATCTTCAACATATTCTTTAATGAAATCCGTAAGTTTTATTAATCGCAAGACATATTTATTTATCTCACTCCTCAATCCACAGAGAAGGGTCTTTAATTTATGTAACTAAGTTCTTTTACTGGTCTGTCCTCGGAAGGAAGACTTAAGGCGATGCTCAAAACCCTCCGGTCCCCTTCTTTAGTACCTCTTAGTTGCTTCAGCTGCCTCGTATTTAAGAACCAAAAAGAAAGCAACTATGCTCGTTTAACACAATATATCAAAACCGATTATCTCATATAAGTAAATTATCTGTTGGCCAAAGAAAAAATATAAGCAAATTATCTGGATGGTTTAACAAGGAAGAAAGGCCGTCATAAAGGGTTCCTTTATGAACAAGATGGACGAAACGAATATTTTCAAGATTTACTAAAATGGGAAGCTCCAGGGTGCAGTCTTTGGCATCAGGATGAATGGATAGGTTGCTCTTCAAATATGTTCAGGTTGATTCCAGCTTCATATATTGCCTGTTTGTTAGCAGTAAATTACAACATTACAAAATGCAAATAGGATGCACTTGATGTACTGACTTGACATTAATTGGGATCTTTTATATCTATACATATATTATGCATTTGGTGAGAGAATGACAAAAAAGAATACGATTAGATATATGGTTTGAAACTGCATTTCTGCTTCAGCTGTGAGCATGCCACTATTATACTTCAAAAAAAAAAAGGGTTCCTTATCTAATTTTCTTATTCATCCCTGAACTGGAGATGTCATTGCGCTCTGTCTCACAGTTCACTACCCGGTTTCAACTTTAAAATATGTTGCAACAAAGTAGCCCTTATTAAGCCACTATATGTAGTGTAGTCTAGAGGTGAAAACCAAGAAGAGTCTACGGTTTACACAAGTTCATGGGCACAAACCTGCACATCTTTGTGGATGAGAAGAGGCCTTACTTATATATGAAACTCTTAGGCCTTCTGCAAGGTTCTTAAAAGCAAATCTAGAATGCTATCCTTTTACAATCAAGTCATGCAACTTCACAAAATCACCCAGTGCGAGTTCTTCAGGTCTTGACTGTAAATAAAGGTACAAGCAAGAAAAGCAGAATCATTAAAAACTATATCAGAACTAATGAGCGTTTTTTAAGAACAATGGAGTTGATCACTCACAGTTGTTGGAAGATCCATCCTTTTCAAAGCTTCTTCGATCTCTGTGGACGTACATATGTGCTGAAGCGATTTCCGCAGCATTTTGCGTTTCCCATTGAATGCTGAGTTAACCTACAAACATACAGAAATTAGTAATGTCATTTAAAAGGTGAAGAAAAGTATATAACAATAACTTGATATGCAGTAGCAGAAGTAGAACATAAGGAGACGAACATTTTGATCTTATCAGCTCAGAATAAGCCTAATAGATTAAGATGAAAATTCATAGAAGCTCAGTGGATGGTTGTTTGTTGAAGAGCTACCATTGAGAAGAAGCTTTTGGTGGAAGAAACTTGGGGATATTCTCTTGCTTGCTTCAGCTTGAATGTGACAATGGCTGCGTCAACCTACTCAAACAAAAAAGGAATGATTCATAGTCCAACCCAGAAATTGTGCTATCAACTTCATAAGGAAATGCAAGTTACACTGCCACTCTGCAACAGCTTCAAATGAACCGCGTTCAGAAACCCTATAAAACAGCAGGCAATTTCTTCCATGATAGACGTCGCCAACGGACAACAGGTTGTTTTAAACTAGTAGTCTCAACAAGGACTAACTCCTACGATCATGATATACTATAGGTTCTGGGTTGACAAAGTATTGTTTAGGTTTTATTTTCTAGCTAGCAATAAACATGGTTTTTACTTTAATCACTAGCAATCACTTTCTTGTAATTTTTTCTCATGACGGCACTTGTTATATCACTTATTTCAAAGAGTATCATACAGACAAGCAAGGGGTCTACTAATATTTGAAGGACTCGCTGAATCAATAAGGAGGACTGGCCGGGTTTGACCAGAAGGAGAAGATCTAAATAAAAAGTCTATTTGCCCGCATGGATTAAGACGATACTGGGCATCAACACCACATAGTAGTCATATTTGTAATTTGTGGACTATAATCACTTGCTTACATTTGGCTGGGGAAAAAAATTTGTCCTGGGGACTTTCAATTTGTATTCTGGGCCTGCAAAGAAAATTGAGAAACAACAGCTTTAGCATCAAATTAATCAAATTCTCACAGTTCAGCTTGACATATAAGCAATCCATGAAGAATTTTGACTGCATGGATGTTTCTAAAACTAGATTAGACGTTGAATCAGAGAAGCTATTAAGCGACAGGTCAATTGGTTCAATTCAATCTGACACTTGATTCAGGTAATATCATAAATATAAATAAATTAATTTTATTTTAATACACACACACACACACACACAAATATATATATATATATATATATTAAATATTACACATTTATACTATAAAAATTGAGTTTAAACTTCAAATGCATGACTTTGAAAATAAGTAATGAAAATTCGTAACACCAGCCAAATGTAAACATAATAGTCATCCTCGACATCACATTTGCTTCGTTCTTTTTTCAAGCTTGGGACATAGTTCCAGCTTGGTTTCTCTCACGGGCACAATGGTAAAGTCCTCACGTTCAGCGATCCACCCCCACTTCTTTTTTTCTCTCAAAAACCGATCACCGGTGATAAATAGACTCTTTGGAGTCATGCAGTCATGCGATCATGCGTTTTCTTTTTTCTTCCTAATGAAATAGAAAAAACTGTAACATTGCATAAAGAAGAAAATGCACAAGGAAAAAACTGACAAATTACACGATTACATGGTTGCATGACTCTAGAAGGTCTACTTTATAACATGAGGTGCACATGACTATTTTGCGTATGAGAGAACCAAAGCTCTCGGGTGCCCAAATAAATGGAGCAGGAATGTAAAAGAGCGGTCCTGTTCTAATAAAAACAAGAAGTCTTATCCTACTAAATGATGTTAGCTAAATAAAATAAACGACCATTAGACTCTATCAACAATTAACCAGTCGAAAATATCATTCATCACATTTGCCCCACCCTAAAACCAATTCCCCCCGCCCCCTTTTTCCCAAAAAAAAAAACCCATTTACTAGCATTTTCTTGATTACAATGCATTGTAGAAGCCAGGGTAATAAATTATAATGCATCTTCAAATTAAACACAAGAATATGCTGGACAGCATAAAACTTACGGTGCTTCATTTTACAAAGATAGAATCTTTTCACCAATACTATAACATAATTTATTTAATTACTACAGACGTACCTGAGTAGAAGTTAACAAAAATATTGATGGGGCGATACTCAGAGGTCCTCAGAGATGATTCTACCAAGCGCAAAGCTGTCTCCTCCTGCATAGATATTCAGTCAAATTGTAATTATATTTATGAGTCCCTTTTTGTTTTTACATTATGGGGGGCTTCCATAATCTAACGCCGTTTGGTTAAATCTTCCCCAAAAAAAGAAAAAGAAAGAAAGAAAAAAATCATTAGATATCTCTAACACCCAGAGTGCTCATATCTAAATTTCTCAAAAATTTAGCTAAAAGAAAAAGACTATGTTCATCACTCTAGTTCCTGCCTGATGTAACTACCTTTTGAGAATGAGTTTGTGAATAACTTTAGGTTTCTGCAATATTTTCCTCCCATTATAATAAGTTAACGATTCTTCAACCTGGCAATAGAATATAAGATATCCTTGAGCTTTGGGATCAAGTCAGGGGTGGCAAGGGCATGGTGAATTGGGATGAGAATATCAGAAAGCAAAGGTTATCGTGGGGGACAGAAGAAAAAAGAATGAAAAATGGAGACAAATGAGAAAATGTATCTTGGAAAGTTAAATTTATTAACATTTTATAGACCAGTTATCCTAAAAATGCAATCCCTTAGTGTCGGTCAAGGAATGATTCTCATATATAGCACATTCCTTCAAACAAAAAAGCTCTTAAGGCTGGAAGTATACACAAAGCACAAGCGTTGTTACTCAGTATTGAGATAAATTGAGTTGTGGCACATGGAGACCAGAAGGAATGAACACTAGTGGTTATGAATGCTTTGATACTTTATCAAAGAGGAACTATAGAAAGGGCTGTTAGATACAGGTCCATGAATAATTTGTATGTCTAATATAACATATCTATAGAAGCACTAGATGAGTAGAAAGACATTTCTGAAATAAAAATTTACAACAAAACATATAAATGAGAAAGCTATCAATGCTAACTTGGAGTAATAGAACCAGTTCTGAGATGATATCACCCATTGGAAGAAGCAGCTTGATCACGTCTGTACTTACATTAAAGGGAAGGTTGGAAACCACCTGCAAGAATACCCATGACAAATTACTGAACAAGTTAGAAAGGAAATAATACATTTTCTCACAGTCCCAGATAGTTTACTGCCAGAGCAAAATGTTGAAGTTTGCAATAAAGGAATTTCTAGCCATCCTAAGGATCACCAATTCAATACATCACTTCATCCAGCTATGATGTATATCATACAGAGAATCACTAATAACAAGCCTATGCAAAATGGAATGACAAAAATGAGTGTCACACTGTAAATCAAATACATATATGGGCAAAAAAGAAAGCATTATGTTTGATCTTCATACTTAATTCAAGCGTACTCCATTTAACTGTAGATAACAAGCCTAAGCAAATTTCTATAATAACATGGTTATAAGTACGGCCAAAAAGGAATATTAAATTTTTTAAATTAAAAGATTGCTCATAGAACATATACAATCTACAAAGCATATTTCTTCTATCACATAGGGCTAGCATGTTCATCGTATTAGAATTTTGGTTAAACTGGATATTTCATCGGACACAATATATTGCCAATAGAAACATTGAAAATGAAGATAACTGCATCAGATCAGATCAGAAATGCTTTGTCCACCATTTCCCAAAACTAGCTCTTCCTCCATTACTAGTACATATACAGTTCTCTGAACAAACTACATTAGCATTTAGCAAAAAGATAGACCACGCATTCCTCTGTTTATGCATTGAGAAGTGTCATCCTTACTTTTGCATGTCTGGTTTCTGGATCCATTTGCCTTATGCTGCCAAACAATGACAGTATATGAGAGCGGACATGGCATTTAACAGCATCCTCTGTCAAAACCTACAGGTATTACTATATCAGCATTATTCAGAATCAATACATCGAACAAGGTTTGGCCAAAAAAAAACCCAACAAGGTCCTTGATGGTTTAAAGTTTAACATAGAAACCATACGCAAGGCAGGCCAGTAGACTGAAAATAAAAAATTGATTTGTATCACATGAAAAAAAAAAAAATAGATTGTTGACATAGAATATAAAATTGAAAGTGTCTCCCTGAGCTGTACCTTCAACTTTTCTGTGCCCGCAAACCTTTTACTCACGAGATCAGCCATGTGTTTATCCTGAATCCCAACAGGAGTACAGAATTATAAATTTTGATCACAAGTAAAATAAAGCAAAAAACGACTTTACCCTAACTTGCTCATAAGTTGGGGAAAAAAAAATGTTATCAGAAAATTTCAATTGCCATTGATGAGAAAGCGTTTAGGAACGAAGAAAAACAGCAAAAGTAAATGTTTCTACGTAGTATGAAGCATAGACATAACCTATGCTGAGACGAATAACATGAACGCAATAAAGATTTATGTAACAAAACAAACACAATCAAAGACATGTTTTTCACGAATGCCTCTCCAAATAGGCACATTATGAAGAAATTAGCAGATTGGAGAAAGGCAGAAAGCGTTTTTGTCTAGAAGAAAAATTCCATAGTGAAAAGCGGAAGCTAACCTTTTCAACAGCAAGCACAAATGCACCAGCGTTTAAAAGAACATTAGTCAAAGAACCCGTTCCTGGCCCAATTTCCAACACCAGGTCGCCTTCTTTAACACCAGCCGCTCTGGCCAGCTGCTCGTTGATATCAGAGTTCAACATGTAATGCTGCGAGGGAAAACAAAGAACAAACTTGAGAAGCCACTTGCAACTAACACCAAGCACCCATCACCATACCTAGCCTGTGTTCGATAAAATACCCGAATGAAGGTCGTCCTCAAACATTTCATGAAACTACGCACATTATTAAGAAAATAAAGCCCGGATAATTCCAAGAAACAAGCAAATTTAGGAATGAGAGAACCTGGCCGAGGGATTTTCTGGGGAAACGACCTTTAGAGTTGAGAGCTCTGAGGGTAGCGTGGTAGTCGTCTGAGCTCGGTCGTGTAGTTTTCCTACTTCTTTCATCAGCAGGCGAAGTTACGCATAGCGTTCGTATCCGTTCACCGGTATTGCTAATACACGCCGGGGGTGGAACTTTCCGGTAGCGGAAAAGGAAACTGGCATGAGATGTTGGCGGGAGAGGTTGAGCGGGGCATATAGGCGGAGGAGACATGATTTTGGTTATCCCTTGTTGGGTTACTTCGAAACTAATCATCACAATATAATATACTGGGAAAATAACAGAAGGCTTTCTTAAAATATGAAAAATGATGATGAAAATTTGTGAAATGTAATAATTTTTTTTAAGTCTTTAAAAATTGTTTGTGAAAAAAATTTTAAAGTAAAAAATTATTGAGAAAATTGGTGAAAAAAACTTGATTGGAAGGAAAATTATGCCTAAAAACCAAATGCAATTGAAGAACCAAACTCATTTTAATATTTAAAAAATGATGAGATGAATGGACCAAAATACTCTTTATTATTGAGAAAATACAATACAATAAATTGAAGACGATTTCCAACCGCTAACGCAAGTTACAACTTGGATCTCTCATCTCTTCACATGCGATTGTGCGTCACCATAAATGTACAACTCTTCTCTTAAAGAACTCTTTTTTGACACTACTATCTAAGCATTATCAGACGTTTGGCATAGCATGAATAGAGATCGAATTAGAGAGACAATCTCTAATTGAAGAACCAAAGAAACGATCAAGGAGGAAAAGTTGAGTGCGACTGTGACGGTATGAGGTTTTCACTCCAGCTCTAAATGTTAGAATGGGAAATAAAGCAACATCGGACTCTAGTTTAGGAGAATAGCTTAGGCTCAGATGGTCTTACGCAAACCAATTCAGATCAGATCAATCGGGTGAAAAAGCTTCTATTCTGGTGGATGTTTGTAGGCATTAAATGGGAGGTTCTTCTTGGGTGGATTCTACTATATAGACAAGCAAGGGAAGATTATCCTCCAAGATGCTGTGGAGCATTGCAACAAACGGTGGTCTTCAACCTTTTCCTTATGTCATTAAGTAGAGTACAAAACTTGAGTTTGTTTTTTAGTTTTTCTCTTGAAACTTATGCATTTCTGACTGTCACACTTATCTAACATTTTGTCTATCTATAATGAATAAAATTAAGTTTGAAAAATCTAAGTGCTTTGTAAAATTGTTTATAATTGTAAAATGAACTCCTCGTGGCATGTCATTAAATCTTCACTGCATGTGAATTGAGTTTTTTATGAACAAATACTCATGGGTTGCGAACATGTAAATATATACAGCATTATTAAAGAAGCTTTCTGTAGCATATATTGACTAACATCTATGTATAAACAAAAACATATGCATGCATCTTAATCAGTGGATCAATTTGTTATCATGTTCCTTGAATATATAATGCAAATGACTTTTTTAAATGGTTGTAGATTCAATTGAGGAATAATGCAATGTCAAACTCCTTTAGATGATAAGAATGCCTCAGATTTTCTACCATTCTAGAGAAGTTGCATCGTAGATGAAGATATACTCTGAATAATAACATCAATAATATGAGCAGGACACTTGAGATGGTCCATGCAGTCAGATAAAAAATCCTAATTAAGTCTATTGTAAGTCTTCTCCAAGTCAATTTTTATAGCTGTAAAGCCATACTTATCCTACATGGATTTCATAGAATGAATAACCTCTCGGACTGCAATAATATTGTCAAAGAGATGCTGTTCCAGAACAAAGTTGCACTGGTTATGAAATATAATACTAGGGAGAAAAGCCTTCATCCTATAAGTAATCACTTTAATAATTGTCTTAAAAATAACATTGCATAAATTTATAGGTCTCAAGTCACGTACCATTGCAAGAGGAGATGTTTTTGGAATAAGAACAATAAAAGTACTATTTATTTCCTGAATTGCCTGGGGATGTCACCTAGTCTCCCACTTGTTCCAATTGACTTTGATACAAGATAGCTCCAAAGCCATAAGGTTCAGGAGATTTCAGCGCTCCCATGCTTTGAATGGCCTCCTTAATTCCATCGTCTTTGATATCACGACCAAAAGCTAGAGAATTTCTTTCAACACGACAACGCATACTTTCATACCATAGCGTTAGATTGTCTATAGTTATTACTCCATCCATTCCAAATAACAGATATACCTTCGTTTAATTATCATTCAAATAATTGTTTCATATTTTGATTTGATTTGAAAATTATATAATAGTAATACATAATTATACATACAATGTCTTTGTTTATTACGTCGGCATAAAATATCAACGTCACCGAAAAAATTACCGCATCAACTTATTATATAAAACATCCATGGAGGAAAACAAATAACTAGTATACAAGGACATGGTTGCTTAATTCGGTGTGCAAAGTCTCACATGATATAAAATTAAACTTAATAATTAATATATAATAAAAAATAACCTATAAATTTGAACCTTAAAATTTTAAATATGGTGTTTTATTATTGTCCTGAACTCATATTTTAGATTTTGAGTAAAGACCTGATGTCTTTTTATCACTTTTTGTCTTTTTGTTTTTTTCCCTTGTTTTTAAATTGACTATCACGGATTATTATTCTCTCTTCAAAAATTGGTTTAATGAGGTATCCAGAGCATCTATTTATATAATTAAAATCCTCCTGAAATTCTTTCAATGTGAGATGTAGCAAGACGCTCCGCATCCCTTACATTACTTACTTTTGAAAGTTCTATTATATTTGTTTAAGATTTTAAAAAAATAATAATCAGAATGTGAAAAAGAATAAAATTTCAATTACTTTAATAAACCACTTTAAATAACATGTTAGATTATGTTAATAAAAATATAGAGATTCTCAAAAGATATCATAAAATTTGAAAATCATTAAATAATAAATTATTTTTATGATTAAAGATCTACCAAGATATGATTGTAAATTTATAAACAAAATCCAAAATATTTTTTGCTTCTGTAAAATCTTTGAATTATCTACGGAGCGCTAACTTTTTCAAGCTGAAACGAAAAGAGTGCTAAGTTGTACTGTTTCATAAGCGGTACATGATTCTTAGACTAAGTAAGTTTCATCCTGCACATGAATGAGTTAAAAAATATCTCACGTTTAAAGCATTAGAACATTCTGTCACATTACCTTGTGGAGGGTAGGAAGAGAGACCACCGACATATTACGTGGCTGGCGTCTCTAGGCGCTGGGATGCTCTCGTGTGGTTTTTGGGCTTTTCGGCTGACTCGGCTCTAGTTTTCCGTTTTTCGTAAATAAATAAGTGCATAAATGTATAGAGTGAGGCGCATCATCAAGCTCGCACGGAGCCCACATGATATAACCGCTCTATGGAGCAGTAGCAGTTTCTCCCAAAATTGCAAACTTTCTCGCAAATCCTCTCTCTCCCTACTTACACTCATCATTCGTGAAAATCCGTGCTCCATCGTGAGCTTGCTACTTTCCGTTCCCATCAAATGTTGACCTCTTTTTCTTTCTTCCATTCCTCACATGGCCACGGCTGCCCCGTAGTTTTACAGTTTCCATTCTCCGTTCTGTGAAATTTGGGGTACCAAAGTTTACATGCATATGCCTCAAACTGACCGTCTTCTCGTGGTTTGAGCAATTTTCGAGTTTGAAGGTTTTTATTATTATATATGTTTGCTTCGGGATCGATTCTTGAGGATTGTAAACAAGCAACGGCAGTGAGCGATGAAGAACGACGAGCAAGCTCGTAGTCTGTTTGGAATTTCGCTCTCAGACAGACCCAAATGGCAACAATTTCTCATTTGTTCTTCTGGCTTCTTCTTTGGATACCTTGTCAACGGCATCTGCGAGGTAGATACCATACAAATGTGCTTTGGTTTTTTTAAAATCACAAACTTCAACTTCGGGATTTTCTAGCTTATTCCTTTCTGAAGAAACGGTCAAATTTTATATTTGTTTGCTTATACTTTAAAATTTATCGAACATTCTTCTGCTCTGTTTCCGCAGCATCTGAACAACACTTTCTGAGGAATCAGGTTCTTTATACAGCAATTTTTTGGTCAAGGATTTTTCTGCCTCTGGTCTTCTCTGCTTTTGGATTTTCCGTTAGGAAGTTGGTCTTCGTTTTAACATTTTCTCTGGTGCTCTTTCTTAAAATTGAATAATTGCAATGCCTGCTATATGACACTCCCCTGCTTCATGACTATTTGTATTAAATTAAATTCTTAACTAAATTTTCTGATTTTCAGGAGTATGTGTATAACAGGCTCCTTTTCAGGCAAGCTTGTTCACCTTGTTACATGTTCATTACTTTTTTCTGGAGGACTTGTCAATTGATAATGGAATGTCGACTTCATTTCTTATTCCAGCTACGGATGGTACTTCACGTTTGTTCAAGGATTTGTTTATCTGTTTCTGATTTACCTCCAAGGCTTCACAAGCAAGCACATGGTGAACCCATGGAAAACCTATGTGAAGCTCTCTGCTGTCCTCATGGGTTCACATGGTCTAACAAAGGGATCTTTGGCTTTCCTGAACTACCCTGCACAGATAATGTTCAAATCCACCAAGGTAAGCCCTTTGGAAGCTATTGGTTGTCGTCCAAGCACACCATGAATGTGTTTGATTTTATTCCTTAGTTGCTAGGAATGAGGTTGTCCAGTTTAAATTCTTACTTATGGGCTTAGCGTCTCAAAATTATCTGACCTGCTTAAGATATTCTTGCCCTCAAGTTGAAGCTAACTGAATGTCTGAATGCTTTTTTCTTCTTTTTGGTCACGAGGCTAATTGAGTACTAGAATGCGAAACATTCGAATACAATCAGATTCAATTTTTGTGCATTAGGTGCTGCCGGTGATGATAATGGGTGCCTTCATACCGGGTTTGAGAAGGAAATATCCGTTTCATGAATATGTGTCTGCAGTACTTTTGGTGGTGGGCTTGATTTTATTCACTTTAGCGGATGCACAAACATCACCCAATTTCAGTTTCACTGGTGTTATAATGATATCCGGTGCTTTGGTCATGGATTCCTTTCTGGGAAATCTGCAAGAAGCAATCTTCACAATGAATCCTGAGACCACACAGGTTTTTTTCAAGTCTTTTTTTAATTCTCTACGTGCCTTTCTCTTTCATGAGAAAAGGCATTCATGTCACAAGTTAATGAGTATCACATTCAATGCATGTTTATTCTCAAATCACAGATGGAGATGCTCTTCTGCTCCACTGTAGTGGGTCTACCTTTCTTAATCCCACCCATGCTTTTAACTGGAGAGCTATTCACAGCATGGACTTCATGTTCACAGGTAAATGTGGAGGAGCACTCGCCAAGAAGACTTGCCAATCAGTATTTGCTACATATGATTTGCAATTAATATTTACATTACAGTGAGATAAGGGAAAGAATATTGTGTATTCACGTGGGAGATCTCAATTCTTTACTCATTGCTTTCTAAACAGAATAGGCATTTCCTTTTCTTGCAGCATCCGTACGTGTATGGCGTGTTGGTGTTTGAAGCGATGGCCACTTTTATCGGCCAAGTCTCCGTCCTCTCCCTCATTGCCATTTTTGGCGCAGCCACAACAGCTATGGTAAGTTTCTCTGTCCCAAGCTTCTCCTGCTTCCATGATGTCAGTTTGGACCACAGTTTGAATTCGCGCACCAAACATTCAAGTGTGAAAATGCAAGAGTTAACTTTTTCACTGCAGTAAATCTGAATTTGAATTGAAAGTTGACTTTGTGCGATATAATGCCTCTTTATTTGGGGTTTAATGGCATTAAATGATGAGCGTTCATATTTGAATATGGTGACAGATAACAACAGCAAGAAAGGCAGTGACATTGATGCTGTCATACTTGATATTTACAAAGCCGTTGACGGAACAGCACGGGACTGGACTTCTGCTGATAGGCATGGGAATCATAATGAGGATGTTGCCTGAAAATAAACCCTCCAATACCAGCAAGGCCTCACCCTCTTCTCCTACTGGTGATGATCAAGAGCTCAGGAGTACGATGCCCTCGGTTTAAATCTTTTGAATCTCATTTCTCTCCATCTACTTTTCACCAAGGACCCTCTTAAAGTGAATTTAATGTGCACTTTCGCCTTTTAATGCATACGCTGGAGCATCATGATTCATACCTTCATGAATTCTATTACATATTTGTTGGGGAATATCGTTAAAAGTTTTTTCTTTATATATATATATATATATATATATATTTTATGCATTCCAAGTTTGTCCTCTCTCTCTAGACATTTGCTTGAAACCACGAATTGATGATCATGTTAATTTCAAGTATCTCCATTTAGTTTTTGGAAATTTACGGAAAAAGTGTTTTAATAAACTAATTAATTTTAATACTGCAGATTCCCCATCAATAGCTAGTATTATTTTTATTTTTATTTTATTTTTATTTTATTTTTTTGTTTTTGGAGAAGCAGTGGTTTATTAGTAGGGACATGCGATTCGCCATAGATAGGGGTGATATGCCCAAACGTGCGACACATGTATCAGCATTCTATTCTTGTTACTTTATGAAATCAATCCCTCGTTAAAACCATTAATGAAGGAGGTTCCTACGGCAAATCTATGAAAGACAGAACATCTTTTCTTTTGTCTTTTTATTAATTTGCCACATATGTTTTACTAATGATCAGATACAATTGTAACTAGGAGAGGTTTTTTCTAAAAAAAAAATAAAAAATTTAGAGAGTTAGACACTACAAACTTAAGATTTAGAAGCATTTAGAAGCATAATCGAACCGTAACCTCCCACTTATCAGGAGCTACAATATAGTTATAATTAGAAGAGCTTTTTATATAAAGGATTCAGCCATTTAAAAAGGAAAATGACAATTAGGAATCTTACAAGAATATTAATAATAATTACAGACTCTAAATTATTAGAATTTCAATAACAAATCATAATCCTTACTTATAATTAAAAAATATGAATAGTCAATTGATAAATAATAAAATACACTTGAAATTATTTTTAATGTCAATTGAAAATTTAAAAAAGTCAGTATACAATTAAACCACTTAAAAAATCAAGAAAATATATTTAAAATTATTTATAACGTTAATTGAAAATTTGCGAGCGTTAAACAAATTAATCACTTGAGATTTTTTCTACTATCATATAAATTACTTGAAAAATTCACAAAATAAATTTAGAATTATTTGTAACATCAATTTGAGATTTACAAGAGTTGTAAATCACAAGTTAATTACTCAAAATTTTTTGCTATTGCTTAAAAAATTAATAAAATATATTTGAAAATTATTTTTGTAATATTAGTTAAAAATTTACAAAAGTCTTTTATGAATATTTTCAAGCCAATAAAAAAAATAATTTATTGCAAGTAATAAACATCATCCGTTGTGAAGATTTCAAAAATTTAAAGCATGTACTTGTCACTAATATTCTAATGGGTTTCCAATTGTCATTTTCCCTTTAAAATTTTATATACGGAACTGGGTGAAGGTGGCCATTCCAAATTCAATCAGTGAGGAAGTGGCCACGTGCTGATGCATCTGCATGCAAGGTGACACACAACACACCTCTCCCCCAACCCTGTAAAAAGTGATAAAGTCTTTAGAACAAATTCTTACAGTTTTTTTTTCCCCCACAAAATGGGTGACACGGAGATAGAATGTAGCAGCGGTGCAGGCGGCGCCGCCACAAGGCTCTAATCGGCGGTGATGAGAGACCAAGAGAGATGTGGAGAGGAGAATATGTGAAAAGCATAGTATTTACAATTGCTTCTCTCTCATTTCCTCCATCTCCTCTGGTAATTCTAATTCATCTCCTCCAATTTAAGCCAACCATCCCTCGTTTTTGCTTCCCAAAATTTATAAACAACGTCCAAGGTCTATTATCATATCATTATTATATTTGTCTGTTATATATGAATGAATTCTACGTGACAAAAGAGTCACATTTAGAGTTGAAAATAATGGTCAGATTTAAAAATTTTATTTTAATAAGGGTTTGAGTTTAAAAAATTTAATTTTTTTTAAAGTAATTGAGTTTGAGAACCTAGCCCTAACAAATCCTATGAAAAGGGGCTCAGACTCGAACAGCCTTTCAAGCCTTGATAAGTCGAGTTATATTACACACACATACATATATTTAACTAATAATGATATAATTTGATTAATATTTATTGTAAGTAATGAAGAAGAAATTACAAAAATAATTGACATTAAATCTCTGCCTCCATCTTTAACAAGTAAACCTATATCTGAGGGATCTAATATTTTATTTTTAGATAATAATGATGATGATGATTTAGATTTACATGGACAAATATTTTAATCTTCATTTTAAATTTAAAATTTTAAATCTGTGTCAAAATTTATGTTGAATTGTATGTGAGATTTTAATTTGTTTTCTATTAAATTTTAGAATATTCTGTTTAAATTAAAATGTTAAATGTTTTTAAGAAAGAGGGCTTAAAAGCCTAACCTTAAGCCTTATAAATAAAAGCCGAACCTTAAAATTAGATCAAATTTTGGATAATTAAATTTTAAGACATGAGCTCTTAAAGGTCGGGCTGACAAGAATTGAGTCCATTCTAATTTTCACCTCTAATTACATTGTAAAAATTTAAGCTTAGCTAGCTTTTAAGATAAAAGTACAAGTCTTTTATGTTCAAGACTATGGGAAAAGTTGGACAAAACGTGAGGGATCCACCACTCCACAGAACCACTACCTAGAACCTTAATTTGGATTAGTCGTAGTGGCTCTTGCAGTACGTCCCAGACGTGAAAGGAAGGAAAAAAAAAAATTAGGAAAAAAGACATTATATTTGACAAAATATTCTCACGTGTTCCAACTTGTAAAATTAAATTATAATGGTGTCCTGTTATTACTGAAAAATTGTTAAATTTTCTTGTGCTTTCTGCCATGAATGGTCAGTGAAGCTTAGTGTTAACTTCACATCCAAAGCTGCAATGTTCAGTAGTTCGCGTGGGCGACAAAAGTTCAAATGCGTATTTCTCGTTTTTGATACAAAAATGCATATTTCTTTGTTTCCAGTACAAAATCCAAGCACAAGCCCAATAAAGTTTTGGGCTGATACAAGCCCAATACATTGTCAATTCACATTTCCTCAATTAGTTCCTACCTGTACATACGTTGTGCTCTTATCTAAAATGAAGGCTCACGCAAATTTCTTGTAGATTATCTAGATCATCCTAATTTGTGCACTTTATATCTCATCATTCTCATTAAATTTTCTTTTTTTTTTTCTTAAATTATCAATGTATACAAGAACAACGGATCAAATAAAATAAATAAATGAACAACAATAATCACTTTTCAGGATTATCCCTCTTTTCAAGATTCTTCGCCAGCCTAACAAGTGATATCAAAATTAGATTTAACAAAATGATGATGGGAAGCCTGAATTAAAAGAGCTAAATTTTATTTATCTGCATTTTGGTTTTCATGCCAAGAAATACAACACATTTCTATCAAGTTGCAATAAAAAATTTGCAGCTCATCCTTTGCAAATTTGATCAATTTACTAACTTCAGTGCTGTAATAATGTATTCACAGTGGATGTGCTAGTTCTGGGGTTTGCAAAACTTGTAGCAGATGCAATATCAATGGGTCTTTGGGGACTTCTTGTCAAGCAAGGCCGAGCAAGACGTGTTTTTCGAAAAAAGGCAAGCGACAAAGTGGGATGTCATGAGCCAGAGAAGTGAAGAGCAAAAGGAGTTAATCAGACCCCATGAAGCTCTTGGGATGGAAAGTAGCGATGCAACCATGGTATGTTCGAGAGAAAATTTACCATTTTATCCAGTCCGTATAGCATTTTTGACAGATAAATCTAGGTTAAATCAAAATTGATTTGATTCTTATGGTTCACTTGAAGAGTGTCATTCAATACTCTTAGGATTTGCTTTGTCACCACTCATTTGCTTTAATCTATTATATGTACATATAAATTTTGACAAAAATGTAAATGCATGCCAAAATGATGAACTATTTTGTGCTAAAACTTTGTTTGAGTAATGATTTGATCAATTCTATTATGTTTTAATGCAACTGTTAGGAAAAAGTTGACGTTTTAAACTGAATGTGTCTGTAGGATCTACGCAATGAAATTGTCCACAGTTACAAGAGAAGTATATCCTTAAGTACTATGAAATGGTTCATCATTGTAACATTGGTTGGCTGCTTATTTGAACAAAATAGTTGGGGATCAACTTACCGAACTTGATCTCTTGTCGGAAGGTTGTGAACTTGTTTGCAAAATATAAGAACATCTCGGTGGACCAGAGAATGGAAACTAACAAAGAAATGCTACCAGCAGATGGAGAAGTTCAGCAATGGAAGAATGGCCTCGACCTTTGTTTCATTCATGGCGTTCGGCGCTGCTTCTCTGCTCTCTGTCGTCGTTTTCATACCATTCACAGACAATGATTCTGTGAAGTTCATGGGATCTTGCATTGTCACTGCACCAGTTCTTGATCTTTTGGGGTTAGCAAAGGCAAGGAATGCAAGAACTATGTCTCCTCTGTTGCTATCACTCTCTTCAATGGATCCATAGCCGCAGCTGCTTCTTACTCTCTCGGATGGTCCCTTCAGCATGTGACAAGCATAGATGGGATGTATGCTAATTTTTGACAACGTATGTGTATGTTGAAACAGGGATGTGTGCTAATTTTTCAAACTATGTTTCAGCACAAATAGGGAAAGAAATGAATGTCACGTTTAAATTTTATTAAATTTTGGCTGTTTCTAACTTTTCTACTGTTACTTGTGATGATGATTGATGGGATGAAATATGTTCCATTTCCCCAAATTTGATGTTCATTTGGAAGCAAGACTCGAGCAAAACATATGGATGTGGCGATATATATATATTGGTCCAAGGACTCTAGACAAACCCTGTTGACCAAATTCCCCCCTCTTTTCATTATACGCATGCTGCTATTAGAGTATAGGTGCAATGGCTTGACCCATTTGTTTGGATTGAGATATTCGGATTGAACCAGATTTCGTCCCCATTGAGCTGCTAAAGCCGAAATACAGAGACAAAAGCCCCCAAAAAATAGAAATGGCAAAGGAACCATGAAACGCCAGAAAATGGAGATGGGAAAGCCAAAACATCAGATGCAAGTTAACAAGGAATGCTTAACTTTTTTTTTTTTTAATCAAAAGACAAGCATTCTTTTTTTTAATTTAAAGGAATGTTTAACTTATTGATCTCGCCCAGTAAGAGTCAGACCTCAGTCTCCCAAAGTGACAAATGTTAAAAGGGAAAAAGGACACCACAACAGGCTTATCTATCTATCTTCTTCATCTAGGGATAATTGCAGAGCGTGTTCTGCTTCCTTCAAGAATAAGCGAGTTGCTTGCTTTTGCCCTCGTCGATATACTATAGAAGACCATTTGTTTCTACTCATGAACTTGTGCTCCTCAGTCTCATCGGTGTTGCTGCAGGTTTAAAAGACATTTTAGAAAGAGAACGATGACATGGAAGAAGAAAACTAACAACATATTAAGTGACAAAAAAGAGTAAATATAGTAGATTCAAGATACTAAACTACCGTAAACTCCCCTCTTTGAATGCGCTAAATGAAGATCAGCGGTGCATAAGATTGATGATTGATAAAATGTTTTATAGGTTAAAAGAAAGACACAGTGTTAACAAGGAATACGGTTATAGAAACTCAGGTGCTCTAGTGGCGAGGCCCTCGCCGTATATCCTAGCCCCTTCTCTCATTTCGCTAATGCTGCTGTCTGTGAAAGGATGTGCAATGCAATGGATTCATGACATATACCAAAATTTATCTTTTTTCTTCTACCTAGCAATTCATAGGTACAAGTCAAAATACTACAAGCAAGGAAATTAATTTCTACCATGAACTGTTCCTCAACTGTTGGTTATCATACCGGCTATCAATAATAAGGGCCTTGTTCAGCAAATTTGTGTCGCTTTCCTCCGTTCCAGAGCCCTCTTCAAGATCCATTAACCTACATGCAGTGAAATTAGTTAAGGTATTACTCACAGGATATACCTTAAAGTCCAAACTAAGCGAGATCCATTTTTCACAATATGGGACATGCCACATAGCACAATGAGCACAATTCATTTGCAAAATGCAAGTTTCAAGAAACATCAGTATATCGGTTATACTTCAGGAAAATCTGTCAAAAATTATTAACTATTTCCTGGCACTTACTTAACTCGAAGAAGATCAACAAGCAACTGGAAGGCTCCAGAATCACCACAGACCTCCCATACTGCGGATTGAACATCCGTATCCGATAGTTGTCTCTCCCCTCCAGATCCAAGAAGCTTTAGGGAAAAAAATTAAGTTAAAACGTTGGATTCAGATATAAATAAATAATTGAATAGAATGCTTATATATTTGCCTCAAAAGGAGGGAATATAGTGTTTTGAATCCCAGATATGAATACATTTAGCTCAGACCTAGAAATTTAGCCTGCATATGTGTTGCCACTTTCATTAAGACTGGAAATGGAAGAAAATGAATCAGGTTGGTTTGCTTCTCCCCGTTCTATCTTTATTCTTTCTATTTATTTCATTATCTTTATTCTTTCTACTTCTCCTATGATTTTTAAAAAAAAAAGAAAAGAAAAAAAAACCTCCCTTTCTATTCCTTCTCTTTAAAATGTGACAAAACCTTTAAAAATTTCAAAATTTTGATTTGATATTGTGGAATTTTCAGAGAGAAAAAATTTTATTATCTCATACCTTTTCTAATGTGTACAAACTGATCCTATACATATGCATCAAGAGAGATAAAAGCTAATAAATACTAATAAAGCCTAATTAATGATCCTAATAAATGCTAATTATTCACAATAATGACATAATATTCCCACACTCCCCCTCAAGTTGGATCATAGATGCTAATCATGTTCAACTTGCTTATACAACTCTCAAATGTAGGCTTGGGTAGTCCCTTGGTTAGTACATCTGCAGCTTGTAACTTTGTAGGTAGGTATGTCAAACATACAATGCCTCCTTCTACTTTTTCTCTAATGAAATGTCTACCCACTTCAACATGTTTAGATCTCTCATGCTGTACAGGATTCAATGCCATGCTTATAGCAGCCTTATTATCACAATACAATTTCATTTCATTAGTGGATCAACTCTGACTTGTATTTCTTCCATGACCCTTCTTATCCATAGTTCTTCTATAATTCCTTGAGCTAATACTCTCAATTTTGATTCAACACTGCTTCTGGATACAACTCTTTGCTTTTGACTTTTCCAAGTTACTAAGTTTCCCCACACAAATGAACAATAACCAGAGGTGGATCTTCTGTCTCCATAGGTCCCCCCCAGTCTGCATCGGTGTAAATCTCAATTATCCTTTGATCATGCTTCTTGAATAACAATCCCTTACCAAGTATGCCCTTAAGGTATCTAAGAATCCTACAGCTTCCAGGTGTCTCTTCCTTGGATCACACATGCATTGACTCACTACACTGACAGCAAAAGCAATATCTGGCCTCGTATGGGATAAATAAATCAGCTTCCCAACCAATCTCTAATATCTATCTTTATCAATGGTTTCTTCTTTCTCCTTGTCTTCTTCTTCTTCAACTTCATTATCAGAGTTGTCTTCTCCTTCTAACTCCTCAGTGCCACTTTTCTTAGGTGGCTTCTTCTTTTTCAAGACCACAATAGGAGTTTCCTCAGGTTTACAACCCAACATGCCAGTTTCCCTGAGAAGATCAAGTATATACTTCCTCTAAGATACATATATTCCTCGTTTTGACCTAGCAACTTCCATCCCGAGAAAATATTTCAAGTTTTCAAAATCCTTAACTTCAAATTCCTTACCAAGGACAGTTTTTATCCTTGTTATTTCATCAACATGATCTCCTATAAGGATTATATCATCAGTGTACACAATGAGGATGTACTTCTTAGCTCCCTCAGCCTTAACAAACATCGTATGATCTGACAATCCTTGCTTATAGCCTTCTAACTTCAGGACCTTTGAGAATCTGTTAAACCATGCCCTAGGTGACTATTTCCAGCCATACAGTGATTTTTTCAGCCAGCATACTTTGTCATTTCTGCCTCTATCAAACCCAGGAGGTAAAGTCATGTAGGCTTCTTCCTTCAATTCTCCATTTAGAAAAGCATTTTTGATATCTAGTTGATGAAGATGCCATTCAAGGTTGGCTGCCATTGACAATAGAATTCTTATAGTGTTCAGTTTTCCCACTGGCGCAAACGTCTCTTTGTAGTCTATACTATAAGTCTGGGTGAAACCTCTTGCTACTAACCGTGCTTTCAACTTGTCAAGTGTGCTATCAGCCTTATACTTTGGGATAAAGACCCACTTGCAACTAACCAGTTTCTTACCTCTAAGTCTTTCAACAATCTCCCATGTTTCATTTTTCTCCAAAGCTCTCATTTCCTTCATAACTGCATTTCTCCATTTTGGTATTTCCGATGCCTCTTGGATGTTGTTAGGAATAATAACTTCATCCAAATTAGTGATGAAGGCTCAGTAACTAGGACAGAGTGCCTTGTAGGACACATGCTTCAGAATCGGATGCAAAGTACAAGACCGAGGTTGTTTCCGAAGGGCAATAGGTAAATCAAGATAAGTAGATTCACTTCTTTGTTCTAAGTCATCTGGCTTACTAGATGGATCAATCCTTGGTATGTCAGCTTCAGGGACTACCTCTGGTTCTGACTCTCTTGGTGCCTCAAGTACAAGTTGCTCACTATCTTTTGTTTTCTTCTTTTGAGAGTGTAAACTAACAACTCCCCCTTTTGTGGTTTTTCCATATCTTCCTCTGTTTTCTTGTTTTCCTCAAACTTTGGCATAAAAGAAGAGGTTGGTGAAGGTGGGATGTTGGACAAAGGTAAGGGTGATAGTTCTGGTAAAGGAGACACGGACTCAAGAAGTATATATTCAGCGTTAGGTTCTAGTTCCCAAATCTGAGATTCACCTATATTCTCCCCCTAAATTGAGGAATTGGAATAAAAAGGAGTGTCTTCATGGAAAGTAACATCGAGGCTTACAAGGATGCGTTTAGAAACAGGATCAAAGCATTTATATCCTCTTTGAGTAGGAGAATAGTCAAGGAAGATACACTTGATAGCTCAAGGTTCAAGTTTACTACTTTGGTGGATATGAACAAAGGTTGTGCACCCAAACACACGAAGCGGAAGTTTGGTTTCAATGTGAGATGTAGGAAAAACACTCGGCAATTTTTGGAGAGGAGTTTCAAAGGCTAATATTCGACTAAGCCTTCGGTTGATGAGATAGGTTGCGGTTAAAATGGCATCTCCCCAATAAAACTTTGGCACGTTGCAAGTGAACATGAGTGCTCTTGCAACTTCAAGGATATGTCTATTTTTTCTTTCCGTGACCCCATTTTGTTGGGGTGCATGGGCACACGTACTGATATGGACAATCCCATGCATTTGAAGAAAATTACTCAAAAGATTAGTTTAAGTATTCAATGCCATTATTGGTGTGTAAAACTCGAATGCTAGTGTTGAATTGGTTTTTGATCATGGTGAAAAAACTCATGAATGTGGATGTAGCCTCGGACTTGTTTTTCAAAAGGTAAACCCAACAAATACGAGTATGGTCATCAATGAAGGAGATGAACCATTTTGTTTGAGTGCGGTTTGAAATGCGAGATGGTCCCCACAAATCACTGTGGATGGTTGTGAAAGATTTGGTAGGTGTGTATTTCGCTCTAGAAAAGGAAGTTCGATGGTGTTTGGCAAGTTTACATACCTCACATTGGATTTCACCATAATTCAAGGTCAGGCATAAGGTTGGAAACAACCGCTAAAGGTAATAAAAATTAGGGTGAGCCATTCTCTTATGCCATAACATAAAATCATGAACTTTAGAGGTAGATGCAAAATTACCAACAACAGGTGGGTTATCCAATCGAGTGACGACCTCTAAATAGTAGAGCCCCTCATATTCTTTGACATTGTCGATTGTCACACCAAATGATAGATCCTGAAACACACAATGTGACGGGAGAAATTTAGCAAAACAATTTGAGTGCCTGGTCAATTGACTGATTGAAAGTAAATTATAGTCAAGTTTTAGCCCGTGAAGGACAGATTCCAAAATAATAGAATCTGATATACGGATACTCCCTTTTCCGGCCACCGGTGCTAAGGAGCTGTTTGCAATTTTCACTTTAATATTTCCAGCACATGGGGTGTAAGTGGTGAACAATTGATGACAATTAGTCATATGATCAGATGCCCCGGAATCCACGATCCAGACCATTGCACTTCAAGTCGTCTTTAAGCCTAAAGAAAAGACCCTCTTTTTGCCACTAATGCCATGGGTGCAGAACTGGAATTATGTACAACACTACATAAAAGTAGCCACAACACCACTCCTAGCACTTCAAATGAGGGAAAAACTTTTTGGTAAACTGAAAATAGAAGCCAAGAGAAGTGCACATGGTTTTTATTGATTTGGAAAAAGCTTATGACCGTATACCAAGAGAAGTGCTTTGGAAAGCGTTGGAAAAAAAGGGAGTACAGATTGCTTATATTAAAGCCATACAAGATTTGTATGAGGGGGTAAAAACTAGTATAAGAACGCCTAGTGGTCAAACAAAGGATTTTCCTATAAAGATTGGGCTACATCAGGGATCATCTCTGAGTCCTTATTTGTTCAACTTGATTTTAAATGTTTTGACGGAACATATTCAAGAGGAAATCCCGAAATGTATGCTCTTCGCGGATGATATAGTTCTTATAGCAGAGACAAGAGAAGAGGTTAATTGCAAACTTGAGTTATGGAGGAGGACATTGGAGTCGAAAGGTTTTCGTCTGAGTAGAAGTAAGACGGAATATTTATATTGTAAATTTGGTAAAGGACTATTCGAAAATAATTTGGAAGTGAAATTGGGAGATCAAATTATACCTCAAGTGGAAAAGTTTAGATATTTGGGAGCCATTATTCAAAATGATGGCGAAATCAGTGGAGATATTTCACATAGAATTCAAGCTGGGTGGTTTAATTGGAGAAAAGCTAAAGGAGTTATTTGTGACCGTAAGGTGCCTAATAAACTTAAAGGAAAGTTTTATCGTACTGCTATCAGACCGGCAATGTTATATAGTAGTGAATGCTGGGCTCTAACGGGACAGCAAGAGCATAAAGTTGGAGTAGCAGAGATGAGAATGTTACGATGGATGTGCGGACATACACGTAAAGATAAAATTCGAAATGAGCACATACGTGAAAAAGTGAGGGTGGCACCTATTGAGGAAAAAATGGTAGAAAATCGGTTGAGATGGTTTGGGCATGTACAAAGAAGACCAAGGGAGGCACCAGTGAGAAGAGTGGAACATATAACTTTGAGTCCGATTAAGAGAGTTAGAGGAAGGCCTAAGAGAACACTCTTGGAAGTTGTTGAACGTGATCTCTTAATTAATAATATTTCTAAAAGCTTAATAAATGATAGAGCACAATGGCGTCTTGCAATCCATGTAGCCGACCCCACCTAGTGGGATAAAGGCTTGTTGTTGTTGTTGTTGAAAATAGAAGCCACAACCCAATATAACTCCAAACCCAACAAAACAGGGCACTAACAACACCATACGACCTGATATGGCTCGAAGATGATGTGCCCATACACTGGATTGTGCTGGATCTGGCCGGAGAGAGTGCGTCGTTGCTGTCTGAGAAGATTGCATCCTTAACGGAGCCGCCCTTCGCCATCGCCGTCCTGGGTTTTGCCGTTCGGAGCCTCTTGAGTATGTCTAGGGTGGCGGTGAGATTCAAAACTCACTCCACCATTATCCACACAAACACCGTCACATACTGTTCAGGCGGCCTCATTCTAACCATTCCAAAACTAATTTAATTTGATATTTTGAGCCTAATGCTCTAATACCATGTGGAATTTTCAGAGAGGAAAAATTATATTATCTCATACCTTTTCTAATGTACAAACTGGTCCTATATATATACATCAAGAGAGATAAAAGCTAATAAATACTAATAAAGCCTAATTAATGATCCTAATAAATGCTAATTATTCACAATAATGACATAATATTCCCACAGATATGGTCCTGTGTTAAGTCTTGATGACAAAATAGGAAAGTTAATCTTTATCTAAATCTGGACAAGGATCTTGTTCAAATTAGACAAAGCCAAGAGGGAGAATCTCCAAACAAAGAGTCAGAAATCATCCTTATACATTCCTCAATTAACTTACAATTAAATAACACCATGAAGTGGCAGTTACAACCGTAACTTGACAGCACACACAAACTGACATCCTAAAACTTGACAACTCAGCATTCTTAAGATAAGAAACATGAACCGCAATATTAAAATCCTGACAGCACATAAGAAGTAGTTATTCAGCATGAATAACTCCCTTATCAACTATTAAAATACTGACAGCACATAAGTAGTTATTCAGCATGAATAACTCCCTTATTGACTAACTTCAATGCTGTATTTTGACTTAAATCCTTCTTCCATCTTTTATATACCAATAATGAACTTCTATCATCCTGTCAATCCACAAGGGAAGCATGCAAGTATTGTTATTCACTCACTATCTGATTCTTTTATCACGCACAACAATACATAATTCAACTGTTGATGTGTTGAAGGACAAAAGGGAACTACTTTCTAATTGATCAAGATTTTATTTTTTGCAATCTCTCGCTCAAGAAAATACATTCAATCATATACTTGCTACCTTATAAACACTGCATGATCATAGCGTCATTTATAGATGCATGCCTTCTGATCATTTTTTGTCAGCCCCTCAGAGAGGGTAATACACCCTTAACACTCTTCATGGCCAAACAAGAAAAACAATACAATTATTATATGTATTGTTTGCTCTCAGCTATGCGATCAAAAGGCAGTTACAGAAACTGAAAATCGTAGCTGCATTAGAGATCCCCAATTCTCTGGTGAGCCCAATAGGCTGGTGGGCCATGTTTATATGAAAAAAGGCCCAGGAACTCTAATGACAGGAAACAGGGAAGGCATGTCAAAGAAAGGGCCAAAGTGGCCCCATCAGATGTGTATTAAATAAGTGTGCAGCGCCTCAAATCTGAAGGTTGCTGTGCAGTGTGCAGTGCACCACACAACCTGAGGCTTGGTTTGGATAGAGGGAAAAGTGGGAAGAAAATAGGAATGAGAACTTTCCAAAATTAGCCAAAAAAAAATATTTACTATTTTTAGGAGAACACCCCCCCCCCAAAAAATGTTTTTCTCATTCCCTATTTTTCTTCTCATTCAAACGAAGGGTTAGAGTCCAGAGCCCTTTTCGCAATAGTGTGCTACCGTTAATGATCATGCGCCAAGCAAATTAAAAGAAGAGTTTTGATCACAAAGAAAAATGCACCTCTTCCAGCAGCAAGGAAACTTTAAAGATCTCATCCTCCTGCATGGCAATGGTCCTCAAGGCTGTAATAAACTTCTCAGGAAAAACCAGCTTCTTTGCATAAGATGGTGTCCTCCGTTGACCACTCCAACTATAATTGCAAACTTGGTCCACCTTGCACTCGTCATTTTCCCCACCTTTTCTGGTGCCTACTGGAAAAAACCCATGATCCAGCAAAGTCTTGGGTAAAAGACATCTCATCTCAGCCTTCTGTAAATATAAACAAGAGACAGCAATCAATTTACAATAGCAAAATAACACACCCGGAATGATAATTACTAGAACTCTGCCAAACTTAAAAAGGTATTCTTCTGACAGAAATAACAAGTCGTCCAGAGGATATATTACTAGCATACCTGTGCTTCAAGAAGCTGACTTTTGGATTCTGAGCAAGATATAGAACCAATTGCTTCTGCTGGATAGTGGACCTAAACGGACCCAACATCTTTGATGAGCTATGATATATATCAGACCATATTAACTGTGATCAAGTGAAAGTTCAATCACGGATTGTGGTAGAGCAAATAACAGAAGAACAACCAGAGACAATATTAAGGGCTAGGGGCAAATTCGAAATGCAGTTATAGTTGCTGAACTGCCTACTGGATTGAGTTATGATCTACTATAGTTGCAGAACGGCTTAAGATGAAATCTTACAGTACTTGATAAAATCCAGGCAGCAGAAATATGTGCACATTTTCGATTTCAAAAGTATATTTGAAACTGCAATAAAAATTAAAACTTTTCTTGCAGCACATCACTTCAACATGATTGCATTTATATGTTTCCTTGTTGTAAAGATAAGTGGGTGAATTGTGTATTTTCATTGCGCAAGCACATGCAGCAGGGGCCTCTAGTCTTAATTAAAGCGATTCTATCATAACGGTTCATTATAACACTAAACCCTATTGATTAAGCTAATTATGATTACACAATATCTACAATAAAGAATATTTCCAAATCCCTAACACTTCCAACATTAAAATTTGCTCTAGTTTAACTACAATCCCCCCCCCAAAAAAAAAAAAAAAAAGCAGACAATATTTGATACTTGGTTTTAGGAAGTCTTTTTATGTGGTTGAACGTTTATGATTTATGTCATTTATGTGATGCTTGTCTTTCTGGGTATGTGTATTGGCTGATTAGTAGCATTGTAGCAAGCTGCCAAGTCAGCTTTAGATCAGAGCAGGACCATATGCATGTCAGGGTAGTGGAGCAACCGCCATGCAGCAGAGTAACAAACTGTGGTTCTGCTGAGGTCCTCAAGCATATTAGGCAGTACAGTCATGTTTTGTAATCAGACTTGGAGAAATTAGAAATGCTTTTGGCCTTCGCACCAACATTGCCACAATACTAGCACCAAAAGTCCTTTTCAGTCAATTTTCAGGCATTGAGAGAACATTATGACAACCTAGATTTCATCATAACAAATATTTATATAAAATGAAATAAAAAAATTCAACATCAGAATAGTCCTTACTGAACCCCCCCCCCCCCCAAAAAAAAAAGACAGAATGATGTTTTTCATCGCTTGTATATTGATACGGAAGAATAATACGGGAAGGAGAGAGAAATAGAGAAAAGAGAGAAGGAACAAAGAGATAGGAGGGAAAGAGAGATGAGAGATTCTGAGTTATATGAACAATCCATTGGAAAAGCGAAAAGCATAAGGATTACAAAGGTATCTCTAGTATTTAAGGGCTCCTAACCCTTATAACTTCCCAAGGGTTATTTCCCTTAACTAACTCTAATTAACTAACAGTAACTAACCTTTTAATATTACAATTACATAACATATAGTTTGCCTAATCAATGCGCACTCAATTCTACCTTAGAATTTTACTAAATATTGGCAATTACAATATGTTTTTTTTTTTTAGTTCAAAACTCCAACTAACTAAAAATATTTTTGGCCAAAAAAAAAATCAATAAAGATATTTATCACGTATCATTATGAAGATGAAGGCGGAAAAGTTACTTTCAGTTGCAAATGATATATTATGCCATAGGCAACGATAAAGAAGGGGAATAATGTGCTAAAGAGAAATTTTGCTAAGGGTGTACAAGGTACATGCCAAGTGGAAGCTGTTACCATGAGATAGTCATCTGGGTTATCATTGATGACGAAACCATACAGATAGAGAAGTTCCTTCATCAAATAGAAGAAATTAAAACCATTCAGCGGTTGAAATGAACTTAAGAGTAAAGTATAATCAGCATTAAACTGAAAAGAAGGTCCCCTAACTAAATCCATACAGCATATCTGCAAATATATCACTAATTGTAAGTAAAAGAGTGATTTGCAAATGGAAAATGTGGATTCAAATAAAAGAAAAAGTCTTAGGAGAAGCTTTTTACTAAAATCTGGAAGGTCTTTCGGCCTCAATCATTGAACACTAAAGCCCAATAAAAGGAATGGTTAAAGAAGATAATACAAACATGTAAAAAAGATGTCATGCAGTATTACATAATTTAGGCTAAAGGGAGAAGGAACATTTAGATTTGGTCACGTATGGAGAAAAGCAGCAAGTCTTTTATGGATAAAGGATGTTGTGACAATACATACAAAACTTCATCATATACAGGACAAAGGTAATATTTCAAATCTAAATAATAATGCATGAAACTCCGCCTATGTTTATAGCCGGTCCCAAGCCCGGGTAAAGGAGGAGGGTTGTGTTAGGCCATCAACAGCCAATGTAAAAATTTGTTGAATCTATCATGAACATGGACAATAGACGTTATAATGTTAATGCTAGGTCGTTGCCCGTAAGTAACGCGCTGCATGGCTCGAGTACAGTGATAAGTGAGTTAGAGCCGCTGCATCGGCGCCCGGATGTAGTGTTAAATGAGCAAGGGCTACCGCGTCATTCTGGACGCACGCGGCTAAAGAAGTTAGTCCATAAGAGCAAAATTAGATTTGGTACTTGGAATGTTGGGACATTAAATTGTAAATCTGTAGAGGTTGTAGGGGTTATGATTCAAAGGAAAATCAATATCCTTTGCTTGCAAGAAACAAAATGGCGTGGAGAAGAAGCTAAGGATATTCAAGGTTTCAAACTTTGGTATACAGGAAAAGTAAGTGCACGCAATGGAGTAGGCATCATTATAGATAAGGAGTGGAAGAAGAACGTTGTAGAAGTTAGCAGAATTGGAGACAGAATTATTTCTTTAAAAATGATAATTGGACGTGAGACTGTTAATATTGTTAGCGCTTATGCGCCGCAAGTCGGGATAGAAGCCAGTCTTAAGGAATTATTTTGGGAGGATCTGGAGGGGTTGATTCGACACATACCACAGAGTGAAAAGATTTTTATTGGAGGAGACTTTAATGGGCATGTCGGGAGGGAAGCTGGTCAGTATGCGAGGGTGCATGGTGGTTTTGGTTTTGGAGAGCTAAACAATGAAGGGCAAACTCTTCTTGATTTCTCATTGGCGTATGATTTTAAGATTGCCAACACTTGTTTCAAGAAGAGAGATGAGCATCTCATCACCTACAAAAGTGGAGCCTCAAGGTCGCAGATTGATTTTTTTTGGTTAGGAACACAGATAGAAAACTTTGTAAAAATTGTAAGGTGATCCCTGGAGATGCTGTAACGACACAACATAGGGTCCTAGTCCTTGATGTGTGTATTATGAGTAAAATCCAAAAACGTCGACAAGTAGTAACACCAAGGATTAGGTGGTGGCAATTAAAAGGTGAGAAGCAAGATATTTTCAAGCGAAATCTTTTGGATAAAGGAATTTGGGATTCTCAGGGAAGTGCTAACATCATATGGGAGGATATGGCTAAAAAGATACGGGAGGTTGCAAAAGTAGTTTTGGGAGAATCGAAAGGTCCTGGTCCGAGAGATAAGGAGTCTTGGTGGTGGAATAATAGTGTACAGGACAAAATCAAGTATAAGAAGAACTGTTTTAAAGCCATACATTTGTGTAACAATGAGGAAAATTGGGAGAGGTACCGTATGGCTAAGAAGGAAACTAAGAGAGCTGTGGGTGAAGCTCGTTCTAAAGCTTTTGAAGAATTTTATAAGAACCTTGAGACGAAGGAAGGAGAGCAAAATATTTATAAGATTGCCAAGAGTAGGGAAAGAAAATCAAGAGATCTAGAACAGGTAAGGTGTATTAAGGATGAAGAGGGAAGAATTTTAGTTACAGATGATGAAATTAAAAATAGATGGGAGACTTATTTTTCTAAACTTTTCAATGATGGAGAGGATTCATCTAGTAACTTGGAGGATTTAGTAACTGGTGAAGGAGAACAAAATTTGTCATTCTATCGAAAAATACGTGATAAGGAGGTAAAGGAAGCTCTTAAGAAAATGGCAAATGGTAGAGCTAACGGACCTGATTGTATATCTATCGAAGCGTGGAAATGTTTAGGTGAAGAAGGGGTGAGATGGTTAACTAAGTTATTTAATGTGATTTTACGGTCCAAGAAAATGCCTGATGAGTGGAGGAGAAGTACATTAATTCCTATTTATAAAAATAAAGGAGATATTCAGAATTGTACTAACTATAGAGGGATTAAACTCATGAGCCACACAATGAAATTGTGGGAGAAAGTAATTGAGCACAGGTTGAGATTGGAGACAAGTATTTCTGAGAATCAATTTGGTTTTATGCCAGGTAGATCAACTACAGAGGCGATTTATCTACTAAGGGGATTAATGGAAAAGTATCGTTGTAAAAATAAAGATCTACACATGGTTTTTATTGATTTGGAAAAAGCTTATGACCGTATACCAAGAGAAGTGCTTTGGAAAGCGTTGGAAAAAAAGGGAGTACGGATTGCTTATATTAAAGCCATACAAGATATGTATGAGGGGGTAAAAACTAGTATAAGAACGCCTAGTGGTCAAACAAAGGATTTTCCTATAAAGATTGGGCTACATCAGGGATCATCTCTGAGTCCTTATTTGTTCAACTTGATTTTAAATGTTTTGACGGAACATATTCAAGAGGAAATCCCGAAATGTATGCTCTTCGCGGATGATATAGTTCTTATAGCAGAGACAAGAGAAGAGGTTAATTGCAAACTTGAGTTATGGAGGAGGACATTGGAGTCGAAAGGTTTTCGTCTGAGTAGAAGTAAGACGGAATATTTATATTGTAAATTTGATAAAGGACTATTCGAAAATAATTTGGAAGTGAAATTGGGAGATCAAATTATACCTCAAGTGGAAAAGTTTAGATATTTGGGAGCCATTATCCAAAATGATGGCGAAATCAGTGGAGATATTTCACATAGAATTCAAGCTGGGTGGTTTAATTGGAGAAAAGCTAAAGGAGTTATTTGTGACCGTAAGGTGCCTAATAAACTTAAAGGAAAGTTTTATCGTACTGCTATCAGACCGGCAATGTTATATAGTAGTGAATGTTGGGCTCTAACGGGACAGCAAGAGCATAAAGTTGGAGTAGCAGAGATGAGAATGTTACGATGGATGTGCGGACATACACGTAAAGATAAAATTCGAAATGAGCACATACGTGAAAAAGTGAGGGTGGCACCTATTGAGGAAAAAATGGTAGAAAATCGGTTGAGATGGTTTGGGCATGTACAAAGAAGACCAAGGGAGGCACCAGTGAGAAGAGTGGAACATATAACTTTGAGTCCGATTAAGAGAGGTAGAGGAAGGCCTAAGAGAACACTCTTGGAAGTTGTTGAACGTGATCTCTTAATTAATAATATTTCTAAAAGCTTAATAAATGATAGAGCACAATGGCGTCTTGCAATCCATGTAGCCGACCCCACCTAGTGGGATAAAGGCTTGTTGTTGTTGTTGTTGTAAATAATAATGCATGAAATTGAAACCATATTTTTTTTCTTCTAGTTTTTAACCTTGGGATGGGGCAATAATACCTCATTTCCTTTGTTGCCATAACTAATGGTAATTTCTCGACCAATCTCCAAGGGATTTTGTGCAGCTTAACAGTTGAGAAAAAAATGATTAAATATAAGTAATCTTGTTGAATGATGAAGCCACTCAAATGGAGTGGCAGAGAAGAAAAAGGAACATTATTGATAACTATTGAAATGGAATATGTCACAAACAAGAAAAAGCAAAATTCAGAAGTTAACAAGGGCATAGTTGCCGTACTGAAAACGCAATACAACAACATTACCAGAGAGAAGGTACATGGAAGAAGGAACATGAGTGATTGATCCAATTCCGTCAACTTCCCAAGTAGCTATTGGCTTCAGATCTGAAAGGCCAATCAAGGTAATTCACGTGAGACATTTGAACTCCATTTACAGTTTTAAAAGTTTCCAAAGTATCTTGTATTTACCACTATAAGTTAAACCATGCTGCAAATTGCAGATACAATCTTTTTTAGCTATAATGTCAGACAGAAGGAATAAACATTTATTTGACATCTTTCTAATTGTCAACCGTCCTTCTGGATCAGGATCCAGCAGATAATATATGACACCATTATTACTATTAAAATAAAGGGATCAGAGAAAGTAGAGAAAGAAAAACAGCAAAGGCTCCTTGTTTTGGTGCATAATAAATGTAGTAAATAAGTCTTCTCCATGAAAATTGCACCAGTTTACAGATGTTCATCAGGAAGCCAATCAACAACCTAAGAAAATGAAAGAGGTCTAAGAATGACTTTCGTCTCTGAGACTGGAATTTTCTTCTTCTAGCTATATCTAAACCCTAAATTCAAAAGGGGGAAATCAGAAAATGGATAAACAAAAAGAAAGGGACTTAAAAACCATAAAGTGAATTGAAATGTATAGGTTTCATTTAACAGCCTACCATGGTTGCAAAAGTCAATGCCTGGGACAAGACCCTCCACCCAAACTGGGTCTCCTCGCATGGTGTTACATGCCATCTCATCAACTTCATCATCAGATTTTTTAACCTGGCTTCCTGAGAAAACTTTCCAATATTACCATGATTATTGGCTTATAATCAGCAAAGGCTAAAAGAGGATCAATCAAATTAATTGAATATAAATCAGAATATAATTAAAGAAAGAGAGAAAATGATAGACTTGTATTTTCACCATATTCACCATTAAGTAAAGTCTTGACACGTCCATTGACTGAAATGAAACTCTCAGGTGCTTGCATTTTTGGAAATACAAAAGAATGAGGAAAAGGGATGTTCAAAGCACGACTCCAGAATACTGAATTTGCCCTAGAATTAAAGTGAATCTGCTATCAGCCTCCAAGGGTTGAAGTTCTGAGAGTTGACATAAATCTATAAAGATTAATTATTTAACGTAATAATACAGGTTCATGAGAAGTACATACCAAAGGAAATCTTCAAAGCACACCTCACTAGTGAAACAGATTAGACAGAAAAGAAGCAGTGTTAGTAAATGATTATAATTTACCTAAGAAATGACTATTTGCAAACATACTCCTCCTGCCCTCTTTATGCAAAAACAAAAAACAAAAAAACAAGGAATAAAAGTGTATAGAATTCCAAATATGCCCCTACATAACAAATTTAAAAAGTAATGTTATGTTACTTGTTCTCTCTCATAAAGGGTAATTTTGAAAATATCTTTCAAATACTACCTAAAAAACTGCACTATGACTTATAAATGGGACTAAATAGACCTTTTAGAAGGTGCCTTATAAATGAAATCAGAGGGAGTATTTTACTCAGTGCTAAGCAGTTCCATGGTTCTCATATCAGTTAAATTATGAAAAAAATAAATCAAATAAAACATTGCAGAACAATAGGAATGTCAAAATCATAGTCCCCAGAACAAAAATAATATTATAAATAAAAAGCCAATACTTACTCTCCACAGATTATAATACTTCACATTTCAACAAGTATCCAATTATGTCAAATGTAAATAACCCATTAAAAAGAAAGACAAGATGAAGTCAACCATTACATACGTCTCTGAATCCCCATTAAGGGTCAAGATCTTCTTCACCAAAGCCTTTACTTTGGTATCGTACAATGACAGCAGGTTTTTCTTCTGCAAGACGAGACAATTTTCAAAAATGCTATTAACTGAGATAGGAAAAGGCTGGCAATAGAATTGACATCTGATTCTTTCCCAGACGACACCAAACAAACTAAATCTGAATCAGCCAAAATTTTAACCATACAGATCTCCTTCACATCACAGAAATCAGCAATAGAAAACTAGGTTTGGTATTTGGGATTGGGTAACGATCATATTGGTTCTCGTATCAGTACTACAATTATGTTCTACTACTTAAGTTCAGGACTTCATAAAGACCCTTGGAATCCTTCGTTTATCACCCATTATTCCATCATTTTGTGTTTTTATTTGCCTTTATGGAGTAGATGTCAATGCTGACTTCTTCTTTGTTCTTTGTTTTTAGTAGGCGTTTATTTTGTTGTCTTCAGCTCCTTAGTTTCGTGGAGTGATTAGCTGATTGTTGTAGCCTACTCTCCTTATTAATATGTAATCCCATTTTTTAATAGTATGAATTCAAACACTCCGTAGTCTGAAAATCTTCATGGCATAAGATCCACACAGCGGCCTGATTCATACCTACATGCTAAGCAAAAATAGCACAAAAAATCCAAATTTTGGCATCAATATTCTGGTATGATGGAAGGCACCACACACCCCTTCACTGCTCTCAAAAGGCCTTGACAGGCCAAAACCAGCTGCTACGCATCTAGAAATGGCCAACTCCAGCACCTCTGTTGATTTGCAGCATCTGTTTGTCTCTCTTGTGACCATAGATGTCATAATTTCTGTCAAGCCTCTTCCATCGTGATCAAAATTTCTGCCAACCCGTTAAGATTGCAACACAAATGGAGTTTCTTCAAAGGCGACTTCAGGTAATTAAACCTAGTCCTTCTGCAAATGGTGTGATAGGATAGCAACTATGGTCCACTTATATTATGTTTTTGTCTGCCTTTGTGAAGCAAATTGAATGCTGATTTCTTCCTCTCTCTTTTTTTTTATTTTCCTACTTTATTAGATTTCATTAGGCACTCATTTCCTTTGCCTCTTGCTCCCTACTTCTGTGAAGTCATTGACAGGTTCTTATATAGCCCAATCTGTATGTTATCCTTTTCTGCAGTAAGTATGAATAATAATGCCAACATAGAAATTAACTACAGATTCCCCCAGTGCCATTCAACTATTCAAGTGACTAGCAAAAAGCAGACTCTAATTTGTTGCTCAGCACAAAAAGAACAACCTACTTTATGAAATTTGAAATTTAAACATAGACATGAAAGGCCTCCTGCCTATTTGCCAAAAATTCATGAGTTCTAAATCACGATATGTCCTTAAATTGGCAAGAGAAGCATACGTTTTGTTGAAATGGTTAGTTGTTATCAAATGATCGATCAGAAGATAAACCACCTGCAATTCAGTAGCACGGAACAAAGTTGTTCCCCTCAGCTCTTGAAGATCGTCATCACTAAACCAAAGTGGATTTCCAAAATTCGCTGGAAGCATATCAAGGTACCTGATCTCATTTTCCGCAAGTAAAACTCACAACAAAGAGTAAAGCAAAATTATCAACAAAAAGTCAAACACAATCAACCAAACATACGGCTTCCATGAAGAATTATGACGCAAGCGTTCCACAGTCAGGAATAAAATCATCAAGAATCTGTCATCTACTTCTCCATCTTCAAACATTGCCCTGCATTCTGGGCCAAGAAGAGGATCTTGCAACACTCTCATTGGAGTTATTGCTAAATCTAGCGGAACAACCAATAGAACCCCTGCTTCAGATTATTCAACATTAATTTCTCTAATTTCATGAGCTTATTGAGAGGAGATATATTTGAGGGGGAAACGTACTTGTGAACTTTTATTTAAGAAGCCTTTTTCTTTTCTTTTTTTCTTTTTTTATGTCTTAGGATAGACCTTAAAAATAAAACACTGAGTTCTGAATGGTAGCATTAAACTAAATGCCTTTAACAGGTATTACTTGACTCTGAGATCGTTGAATTTAAATATATCATTTTCTAGTTAAACTCATTGGATCATGTTTCAAGCAAATATCACAAGGAAAAGTATTTCAAATTTCCTGTAGTTGCTTAATTTATTGCTTATTTTTGCTCCAAAAGCAGGGCGTGTGCATTCAAAATTCCAAAACAGACACACTAACAGAATTCCACATCCAGTGGTACATTTTCTGGGTTTAGCTAGCAATGACAAAGTTACGAGTTTAGAACTCAACTCCTTCAATCAACGCTCAACCTGCGTTTTCTCAGCTACTGTTGGAAGAACAAGCAAAGCAATCGTAAGATGACCCGTGCCAAACATACGTAAAATGATCTCTAAATATACTTGATTGAAGTGTTTGGAAGATTCAGATTACCATCAGAAACATCTTTAGTTGAAAAGATGCCAAACCCTTTTCGGGAATCACAATACTTGATGTCGCAACCTTGTAGTTGAACCCCATTCGCCTAAATTCATAACCCAGAAAATTTAAACTAAAAATGTTACAGACGCAACAAAATATATGTTTCTATTGCTCATTGAAACCGTGTCAAGCAACCTGTAGCCACTGGAGGAACCGTTCGAGCCTGGCTCCTTCTGCCATGGTGCCCGAAAGTGGGTATCTAGGTTTGTTACGTTAGCTTCAAACTTCGCCACTTGGGAAGGTTTGGTATGTTTGGTTTATTTTCTACCTGATGTTGGGAGAGCCCAAACCTTGGATAGAAAGTAAACAATCTATTGCGAGATATAAAATTATGTTTGGATAAAAAAATGTTAAAAGAGCTTTTGAATCTGATGAACGTTTTTGGGTCCGTTTGGATTTCAGTTGGATATAATAGATTATGAAAATAATTGATTAAGTGGTAGATTTTAATCATAATTGATTATATTATAACGTAATTTGTTTGGATATTATTTTTTTAAAATTAATTTTAACTTAATATATGTTAACAACTTTTTTAAAGATTTAAAATTTGAATTTTACTAAGAAAAAAAAAGAGAAGAGAAGGGAGTTTGATTTTTTTTTTTATAAAATTTTGTGCTTTTTTATAATTTTTTTGGACCTTTTTATGTAATTTCTCCAGTTTTTTTTTATCAGCGTTTCTAAAAAGCTCAAAATATTAGCTTTTGAAAAAAATCGATTTTAAGGGTTGGAATCGATTTTTTGCTTTTTCAGATGTTTGGCTAATAAACTAAATAATCGATTTTTTTGAGAATAAAATCGATTAAAAACGTATCCAAACGGGCACTTTAAAGAAGCTGTCTCAAGGAGCTTCTTTACAGATGCAACATTGGGAGGCTTTAAAATAATTAAAATTAAAATAATTACTATCAGTTTTTCTTTCGTTATTTTCTTGCCTTGTCCTGTCACGTCTGCTTTACTCTGCCTTCTCCACATTTATTCAAATTTTATGTTTGTCTGTTAGTACACCTTTATTTTTAATCTACTCTTTTAAAAAAAAATTATTTAACTTTAAGTTTAATATTTAAAAAAATATCAAATTAATCATAATATATATATATATATAAGAAAATTTATGCACATTTTTATCATTATATATTTCAACTTCTTTTTGAATAAAATTTTTAAATAAAATATTTTTAACTATTTTTTAATGTTCAAAAATTTTAACAAGTAAATGATTGACAAGAAAGTACCAAACTGGATGCAGAAAAATAGTCTTCTTTTTTTTGGGAAATAGCTTATATTTAGAAAATATCAAAACAAGCTTGATGAAAATATAGATTCTTTTTTAAAAGGTTATAATTTAAAGTTCAATCATAAACTCATGTTCATTTTAATTATTATACATCTCAATTAGCTTTTAAATCAAATTATCAAAACAAAATTCAATTGATCCAACATATTTCTAAAAAAAAGTATTCAAATATAAATCACTACATCCATTGACTTTTCTCTTAACCTTAGTTGAATCCTAACCTCAATTGTAAATTTTTTAATCCAAATAATCTAAAAAAAAAAGAGAAACATAATTTTAGATCCCTGCTTTTTGCTCGTGTTTTGTTATTTGTCCCTACATTTTTTCTAAAACCCATGCACTTTTATTTTTTAATGTTTTTAAAAGGACCTAAAAAAACTTAAAGGTGATTGCAAACTTATTTGAGAAAATAATCTACAAGATTAGAAACTGAAATGCAATTAAGATTAAAAAAATTGTACATAAATCTCGCTCAATACAATTAAATACTCACATATTCATTAATAATTGAGTTTAAGAGAATAACAACACATTCAATATAATTCTCTCATTAAAATTTAATGCACAAAGATAAAACTACACATCACTTTTTTTTAAGGATAAATGTACAAATTTGGCTACCAATTATTTTTACAAGAGCACTAAGTAGTCTATACTATTAAGCGGTGCAAAATAAATCCTCAACTTTTAAAAATGGAGCATCTAGTAGCCTACCATTAATTTCACTCGACGAACGTTATGTGAGAATCACAAATGACATGTAACACTCTGCATAAGCATGTGTAAATGTACAAATTTAGCTACGAACTATTTTTTAAGGAGCACTGGGTAACCTCTACTATAAAAAAATAGATCATCCAACACATTCTCATCAATTTTAATTGAATATCATTTATTTTAGACTTATGAGATCCATAACACATCAAATTTTTTCTATCTTCTTACCTTTATTTTCAATCTTAGCTAGAAAAGAAGAGGTTCAAAAAATTTTTATTTGAAGACATTCACGAGAACGATGCTAATGAAGTATAAGCTTGATTTTACTACACGTGGCAGAAGCTTGATTTTAACTTAATTTAACCACGAATTATTTCTTTTACTTCATTAGTGTCTTTTTCATGAATGTCTTCAAATAAGAATTCTTTGAACCTATTTTTCTTGAGTTGAGACTAAGAACAGAGGTAAGAAGATTGAAGAGAATGACATGTTTTGGATCTCATAAGTTACAGAATAAATAGTGTTTAATTAAAATTAATGAAAAAGTATTGGATAGTCTGTTTTTCACAGTAAAGGCTATTTAGTACTTTTTAAAAAATAGTTCATCACTAAATTTTCACATTTATACATGTTGAGGTAGAGTGTCACGTGTCATTTATGGGTCCCACATAACATTCGTTAAGTGAAATTAATGATGAGCTATTGGATGCTCAATTTTTAAAAATTAAAGCTTTTAAATCACTTATACATTATAATATAATGATGTGTTATAAATTCTTGAATGGCACTTGTTTTTTTTTTTACTAATGTTACTTATTAATCTTGACACAGTTAATTACAAATTGAAAGCTTTAAAAATTCATGTATTTTACAATTTCTCATTTGTTAATTGATATTTAAATGTCATTAAAATAATATGTTTATGTAGATAATAAACATAGTTCCAAACTACTTGTTTCTTATAATATAACGATGTGTTGTTAATTCTAAATTTAATTTTCCTATCTTGTTAAAGTCTAAGTGGATTGTTGTTAATTACAAAAAGATTGTTGTCAAAACTCAAATGACTTGTTATTTATGCACGATGAACACTTATTTCATTAGCCCTATGCTCAATTTTTCTAACTTGTTAAAATTCGAATGGATTATTGTTAATTTCAAAGAAGTTGTTGTCAAGACGTAAATAAATACTTGTTAATGAAGGACCAACACTTGTACAATTAATTTCACCCCGTTATTTTTTCTAACTTATTAAATCATAAATGGGTTGTTGTTAATTTCGAAGGAACTATTGTCAAAACTCAAATGAATAATTATTGTTGATAATTGACAGCACAGATCTAATTGAACAAGTGTTCATCCTATATAAATAGCAAGTCATTCAGATTCTATGAATAATCCATTTGTGATTAACAAATAATAACAGAAGTAAATTAGTAAAATAATAAGTGCCACCCAGGAATTAACAAGTGCCATTCGTATTTTGACAATAACCCATTCATGATTAACAATAGTTTATTCGAGTTTTAACAAGATTAAAAACTAAATTTGGAACTAACAATAAACTGTTTTGTTATAAGAAATAAGTAGTTCGAAACTAAATTTATTACCTATATAAACATGTTATTTTTAATGACATTTAAATGTCAATTGACAAATGAGAATTTGTAAAATGCTTGCATTTTTAAAGCTCTTAATTTGTAATTAACCATGTCAGATTAACAGTTAATATTAGTAAAAGAACAAGCTTCATTCAAGAAATAATAACACACTATTATATTATAACATGGAAGTAATTTAAAAGTTTGGATTACTATACTCTTTTTTTTTTGCCATATAAGATTAAATGGGATTGCTGGCAAAAGGGGGTTTGAATTAATTGTCAACTCAAGAGGGCTCTAACGAAAGGTAATAATGGGATTTTTTAAAAAAAAATAAAATCTGTGAGGGGCAATTTTATCTTTTCACTATAAATTTGCATTTCAATTCTCTAGTTTTATAGTGATATTTCAAAATATTTTGGCCCTTCATTGATATTAAATCTCCTCAGTGATTCTTGAATGATATTTTTTCTTATTTTTATCTTTACATTTTTTTCCTAGCTAGAATTATTTTAGGAAGAATGACAACTAAGTCCTAAAGAAACTAATCAATTTAACCTAAATCTCAATTAATTTCAAAATATCAATAAAGTCCTATGCATTTTTTTAGAAAAGGTGCAAAATTGGTCATCAATTATTTTTTTAAAAGTACCAGGTAGTCTACACTATAAGGTAGTGCGAAATAAATTTTTAACTTTAAAAAAGAGATTATCCAATAACTTGTGTTAATTTTTATTCGACGGACATCAACTTATCATGTAGGGCCTATAATTTTTTAATTGAAAATGATATGTGGCATTCCACCCCAACAAATAACTATTTTTAAGGTAAAGGTGCAAATTTAGCTACGAGCTTTATTTCAAAGAGTATTAGATAGCCTCTACTATCGGGCAGTGCAAAGAAAATTATCAACTATAAAAAATAGATCATCTAACACCTTCTCGTCAATTTTGACAAATGCCATTTATTTTCAATCTTGTGGGACCCACAATGCATTAATCTTTCTAATTTTCTTGCCTTTAATCTTAGTCTCAACTCGAAAAGAGTAGCTCAAAAAGTTCTTATCTAAAGATATTCACGAGAATGATACCAATGAAGTAAACAAAGAAGAAAAAGAAAATAAGGTTTTGTTTAAATCTTTATGACAATTCAAGTGAAATAGTGATTTGAATTGTGATGCTGCTATGCATGTGTTGCACTCCTTAAGTGCACGGGCCGTAATGAATAATAAAGTGTGAATAAAATATCATTCCCACAAAAATTTGTTTAAAACAGTTATTAAGCAAAAAGCTAAGTAAATTCAATCAAGTTGAACAAAATATAATTAAGTGAAGATGATTTTGCAAACTAAATCAACACTAGAAATAAAGAAAAACAAATGATTCAAGAGTTTTTAAAAGTAATTAAGCCTAGTATTAGTTATTCTCCTTTATACTTCAAGAATATTTAATCAACCCCTAACATATTTTGCTCTTAATAATGATTTGTGCTAGTTAAGGATACTAAATTACCCATAAGTGCTCTCTCAAATTTCCAAGTAGGTGTATAGTTTAATTAATCCTTTAATCTCTTGATTAACTAATTAAACTTCAATTTGAAAATCTTATGTGACTATTTGAGGTTAATGAGCGTATCTCTACCTCACTAACAAAATCATCCATTCAACTTATAAACTTAAAGATTTCACAAAATTTAACTCAAGTTCTAC